ATCCGTACATTAATGATAAATGATATTAATGAATCTAAAACATTCATGATTAAACTTGTCTATTCCCACCAATGAAACTGAACCAAGACTTAAGCCGAGGATTCAATAGACGTATTTTATGATAAAAGCAGATGACGATTCTTATAATATCCGCTATACAAGATACTGGCCAAGTTACTATTCTTCACAAAATCTCTGATAAGTATTCTTATTAACTTTGAAATTTTTAACTTTAAGAATTTTCTAAGAACAACCAAGAAGTCATTCCTCAAACCCATGTCAAAATAGATAAACTAAACCCTATCAATTCACTTTAAATTATTCAGCGACTTAGAAATATGTATTATTTGAATATTTTTAGCACAACCTAGTTTAGACAAGCTAACGGTGATGTAGTCTTTATTGTGTTGTGGTTGGAATGAAACTAATTTTAGAACACATACTAAAATATAAGTTAATGGTGTTACTATTACCTTTGAAATTCTGTATCGACATACAGATGACTGTATGCAGGACGTCTCGATCAGTGTTGCTAAACATTAATATTACTCTGAAGTGTACCTTTAAACTGATGCCACAAACTAAAAGATGTCCCCTGCATAAAATTACCTCTCTTTTGTTGTTACAGCTTTCAGCGGTTAAGGTGATATTATCCATTTTCTATTGTGATTGCTTAAGGTGGCTGCCTTGTTTGTAGACTCTCTTGCTTTTCTAGTCTTTCAGGACTCGGACGTGATTGATATGTAGAAAACGACATTTTTGTTTGTGAATTATCTTAAATAGTCATTTGTTGCCTTGCATTTTGCAGCCAAATAAATTATTTTCATAGCATTTCGGTATTTTGTACCTATTGCCAGTAGTAGGAGTAGTAGTAGTCGTATCAGTTATAGTAATTGCAGTGTTTCAGTAAGTACTTGGAAGCTAACTACCTCCAAAATGATCCACTAACTATGTTATGACAGAATTTAGTGCTGAGAGAGATTAATTAGGAGACGATAGTTTAAACCGACTTTATTTTGCAACACAAGTCTATGTTAGTCACTGGAATTTCGCGCATGTAGTTTTTAGCTCACTTTATACCCGATACACTAAAACAAAGAAGTCAGAAAATGCATCATAGATGTAATATTCAGCTGGGAAAAGAAAGTTAAGGGACCCGAAATCCCAATTTTAATATCCCTGTTACTAGTTGCTTTGAATCGTACCGAAAGAACGAGAATCGAGAGCAAAAAATTCAGTTGGTTTATACTAGCTCATGAAAAAAATATTGGATATTGGAAAGGATTTCTTCGTGGGTGATATAAAATATGGTTTGGAAACGAAGAAGTAACTGTTCGAATAAATTTTGGAAATCATAACGGTAATTTGTAAAGAGACAAAGAAAAACTGAATCTTCTTTTTTCACCTGATTCAGAGAAATAAAATCCAATACTTCCTACAGTGCCTCAAGAAAATTGAATAAATATCAAGCAAATATGTGTTTGCATCACTAGTGTAGTTAATCTGTGTCAATGGTTGCGGTGTAACACGTGTTGCCGCATAAAATCGCCCAAGCAGACATCGCGTGCACCGTTAATGCCGATGGGGACGACTAAACCACACCAGCGAGTTGGCATTGATATTTTGGGACCGTTGGCGACGACAAAGAAAGGAAACTGCAACATGTTAGTTGCGGCAGATTATTTCAATAAATGGTGTGAAGGAGTACCCATCCCACAGCGAGACGCCGTTACTGTCACACGGACCTTCATCGATCATTGAGTTTCCCATTAAGGTGCCCCACTCTCACTCCACTCCAACCAAGGCCCGGCCTTTGAAAGTCATCTCAGTGCTAAAATATACACGTTATTATAAATAAAGAAGACGCATACTACCGCATACCATTCAGAAGGTAACGGCCTTGTTGAGAGAACAAATAGAACCATTAAAGCCATTTTACAATCGTTCATCAGCAGATCGTCACTGGAGTTGTGATATGAGGTGCTTTCTCAATGCACTTTAGCCTATCGGACATCGGTACATGGGTCCACGAGATCCTCACCTGCTATTTTACTGCGGGTCTATTTGAAGTTTACGGGAATGATATGAGCTCATAGAACATGTTGAAGTAACGGGGATAATTCTAAACCTAGATTATGATACCGCTACAACCAGTGTACTGGCTAGAACGAGAATTCTCAATAGGCAATAGCATATACTAGTATTAACAGTTAATAGAAGTACAGAGCGGAATCAGTGCCACATGTACCTATCCAAGGAATGTAACGGAATAATGCGTATTAGTTTTTTTACCTTAACAGATATCAGTAAGGATTGCTTCGTGGCATAGCTGAGGATTTCCTAATGTCTATCTTATCCATCCTTAGTGCACTTTCCCAGTTTCTTCATCGCCATGAATCTGGTTTGTTCTCTCACAGTAAGTTGCGATCAATGGCTAGAATTCCATTTGACGTCAACTACCTTCTCAGCCAAAATATCGAGGGTGAGTTCCATTAAGTGGGTTATTCCACAACGATTCGTAGTTTCACAAATCGGACAACATATGACTGGTTCTTAGGAATCCAGTCTGCTGATCTTGCAGTCGTCCATTTTGTGTAACAGCACTTTGTTGAAAACCTTTCTTGGTATTCACAGAGGAGATATGCCTCTTTACTTCTCATACTTGCTAAGATCTTTCTTTACTTTTTAATCGGCTGTCCCTCTTTTCAATCTGTTCTTCATCCCAAATCTTGCTGAAAAAATGTGAAGTATCTTATCAGTTACTGTTACGTATGTTTTCAGCGACCCTGCTGGAATGTTGCCCAGTTTCCCCGCCACTCTTGCTTTGTCCGATAGCCACGTTGATCTCTTCATTTGTTGGTGGGCCTCCATCAACAACCCTTGGCACAAGACACGAAGATAATAATCTCGCCGAATAAGTGTACTAAACTGGCATAAAACCTTCATAGGCCAGTTCCCGCAGAATCGGCCAACTCAGTTTGAAAAACAAGTTTGAAAATCTAACAATCGCTATTGCTGCAGTGCCTTAGGTGATGAGACAAACCACTATGCGCCTCTGTTGGAATGTAAGAGGACTAAGGGGAAGGCTGTTAGAAATCAAGAATGTGTACTCTCAGATGGATCTGAAGATCGTAATCCCAACTGAAACATGTCTATCCCCGACATAGCAGACGATGACGTGAGCTTGGAATGGATGACACTCTTCCGAAGCTATAGGGTACTCGAGACATAAGTCAGGGTAGCTACATATATTTATTTGAAGGTCAAGAGAATGCATGGCACCTCAAATAACCGAGGTTGGTGTTGTTTCCACACAAATCCTACAAAATACTCGACTGGAGGGATTCCCTGGCCCCCTTTCAGGTACTAAGGCCCAGAAAGATAAACTGACTAGGGCAGTAATGCAACTGCCACTCCTTTGGTTTGATCAAATACTCTAAGCTGGATATTGCAATACTCCATATGTAAAGCTCAGCCAACAGGCTTCGAGTCCCACTGGTTGGTTCTAAAGACGACTAGGCACTAGGAGACCTAGGATGACTGAGAATGTATGCAGCGCCAATAGACAGACTAAGGATGGAAAATCCTCAAAAGTGGATTATTTGTTAACAAATGATTTGCTCCTGATTGGAGATGTTCATGTCCATACACCAGTAGGAAGTAGTAACCATGGTACAGTCTTGTTAAACATGTTCATAAACAAAACACCTTCGCTACACTACATGTCTCATGGCAACAGGAACGGTTATGGTTAACAGTGGATGATCACTGGCAAACAGGGGGAGATACCATTTAGGATGTTATCCTAAACAATCTGCATCAGGCAAACCACACACCTGGTACAAATGAAAGGTCTCTCTGAAGGATCTCGACCGCAGAATTTACTTGGGATGAGAAACAGATGGAATGACAAAGTTCGAAGTAATAGGAGTTGCTTTCAGATGAAACCAGGTGCCAAAATACAGGTTCATGACTAGAAGGAAAACCCATGAGTCGGGGTGTGTGTTCCCTCAAAGGTTCAAATGACGAAGATCTCACCAACCTAAATGATTGATTTAACCAAGTAATTACTTCTTCACAGTACTGCTTAAACAAAGTTCCACTTGATAGCCCAGGGTAATATTCGACGTACTCTTAACTTAATACTGAGAAAAGTAAAATCCTTGAGCCGTGAAAGTCACCAGAATGTGATACTATAGGCTCATAGTCTTGTAAGAATTTACAGATATGTGACCTTACTGCAGTCACACCAACTCCCAGAAGAATGGTAACAAGCTACTCCCTCTCCCGTCACGATTTTAAAAAAGGCAGGTCGTGCGTATACAATGTTTTCATAGAGTGAAAAAGTTAGACATTCTGCTGAGACCGGTAAATACCGGTGTACACAACATTTCTCGACTTTGCAAAGGGTATCGATACAGTACACTAACTGCGAAGTTGGCGGAAATGGGCTTCAGCAACTACCTTGAGAATAGAAAGATTAGTACCAACGTATACAAAGTGCGTGCGACTTGACGAGTCTCAACGTCAAACGTTTAACAAGGTACTATCTGCATAGACGATGCAAAGATCTGGAGGTCACTTGATTATCACGTATTAACATAGGGATTATCGTCCCCATCGTGAACAAGCTGTGCTTGATGCATGTTCTGAGGCCTGCTAATTGTTATCATTGCCATCTCCTCAGATAACTGTCTTAATCTATCTCGCCTATTATCTCTGTTTCATCTCCCTTGCTTACACTTCGGTTCTCTCACGATCTTCACTACCAATTAATAAACTAAATTATCTATATATTACTTAGTTCTAAAATCCTCTTATCAGCATTAGAATTTTTTCATGATTATTCTCCACACTGCAACTAACTTATCTCTGGTCTGGTAATGTGATAGCTGCTGGTATTCAGAAACCCTACTGCTGTGAAACAAACCGAAAGAACAATAATCGAGCGCAAAGTAATCAGCTGATTAATAGTAGCTCGTGAAAAGGCATTGGACATTGCATCTGGCGGTGTTTCAACAGGATGGCCACGGTCAAGGCCGTTAGGGCCAAAAAGGGCAAAGTCGAGATAGATGTCGAACGATACCGTTCCGAGGCCCTTTGGAATAAAGCCTTAGAAACAATACTTGCCCATGGATCCGAACGATCCACATCTCTCCGTATGGCATGTTAATAAACCTAATTTAGGTCTTACTTTTACCAGATATGTTGAATCAACTAATTCTGTGTGAGAATGAACTAGAATTGAATGAGCAGGGTGAAGTTCCACCAGAAAACTTGTCGAAAGCGAAGAGGTATGCGGAAGAAGTTGTGAATGGAAGCGATGAACAGTATAAATATGAAGCATCTGTTCTTCTTGGGAAAATTTACTACCTTCAGGGAAATAATGAAAAAGCTCTGAAAATTTTAAGCTCTCTTAATTTGTTGTCCGCCAAAATGGATCCTATTACACTACGTTTCAATTGTATCGTCAGTGAGGGTTTAGCTATTCTGGGTATGTTTTTTTCATCACACTGATTTTGCTTTCGTAGGTTTGTGTAAGGAAGAACAGTCAAAGCTTAAAAGCCTACCCGAAAAATCAAAAGAGAGAGATAATATTATTGTTTTATTCAATTTGGCCTGTCATATGTGCATAAAACACCTTCAAGAATTAGATCGGATCCAACCAGAGAATACAAATTTATCTGTAAATCTACCATTGGTTGTGGAAAAAGTCATACAAAGGATTCCGGAAATTCTGGTTGAAAAGGGGTAAGACAGTTCACTACCGCCGCTTAAGCCGGCTGTTGGTCTATGATATTTTTGTGTCCTACCAAACAAAGCCATTGATATTTTCTATTATCAATACGACGAGTTAACGATACTTTGTATCACTTCGAATTATTACTATTTCCTACCGCTGTTATGACTTGCGGTATTGTCCTTGTTTTGCACGAGGTTATGTTTTTGGGATGATGGGGATAATTTGGAGCTCAGGTGGATGATTATGATAGTTTCGTTCTGTGCGCTGGATGTTTCCGTTGTAGAGCTTTCTTTTCTTCTTCTGAACAACATTGGCACGAATATTAGGTAGATTTTGTCCTCTACCTAAGTTCTCCATATCTTAGTTTCATACTAGTACGTGGTATACCACACCATGAGCTCGGTTCCTTATAGGTATGAACTTATCACATTTACAACGAGTAATATAGATCGGCATTTCATATTAATATTTGGATTAGGTTGACCAACAACAACAGTCATGGTACAACTCAGAGAAGGATTTTGCCAGTTCAGTAAACTTTTTGCATCTAAATAAACAGCATTTGTAGGACTGACTCAACATTTATTATTAACACCTGTCTCTTGATAAACAATACCAACCGATTCTGGATTGCGAGTCCTTAATTCTAACAAGTACAAAATCTGTCACAGATCCATCCTTTATGTTTTAAATGGGCGAATATCATTAGCTTCCCCACTTAGGTCATCATTCAAATCTTCAGTTAGTCAATTATTAGTAGGTGCTTCTGGTAAGCACTTTTCGGTGAGGCCTCACCATCGACTTTCATAATGGTACAGACGTCCAAAGATTTGGCAGTGTGGTGCACTTTTAGGAACAGAAGTGAAACCTCTATTGGATGTGTAAGATGCCACCTATTTATACAAACTATAACCATCAATTCAAGTCACCGTAGCCCATTAGTACAGAGAGATGACAGTATCAAGCATTTCTATCCAGAGTAGTAGAAGTGGTAACAGTTTCAGCATAGGAAAAAATTATGCAACAGAATAATAATTGTGGACATCTGACCCATCACTCTTTGAGTTGCGACGATTTTACATTCACTTGTTTTCTCTGATTTCAGTCCTTTCGACAATTTCCCTTTTTGTGTTGACCTTGAGTGTGAACTTTGAGCGCTTATTAAGTGCACATTTCTCTATTAGTTGCACTTCACTACTATTTCCCTGACTTCTAAACTACCTTTTGATCCTTACGCTGATTAAAGCTAACAAGAACAAATTTATTGTATCGGTTATTCGAAAATCCCCTCTATGCACCACTGTATAAACTGAGTTTAAATTAAGTCTAGATTAACTGTGATTGATCACTGTACGGCTTCTGCAAATATCATCTTAAATTCCTTTACTTAAAACAATTTTCCAACTACATATTCCTCGTATTTTTGCATTTACGTGTATTTTCATACCCAAATAAATGCGCGATTCATATCTAACCATAGTATCACTAATCTCTTTCCAACTATTCACTACGTCGACTAGCACGTATACTAATTATTCTTACTGGATAACCTTGAAGGATTTATTTTCTCGACTTTAGGGATGGAAACAAGCAAATAACTCCAATACAAATGCTTCGTATTTCGATGCCGTATGTGCTAAAAAATTGTTTTTGAAAACATAAGATCTAACAAGACGCTGTGCTAGTATAATTTGTAGTGTAAAAGAAATTCTTGGGTCCGTTTTACTCAGATCCCGATTCCGGAATCTGAATGGTGATAAACATTTGGTCTCATGAAATGGAAAAATATATTTAATGTCTCGTATTTCGATCTAACCCAATTTCTTTGTTTTTAAATTTCCTTTTTCTCCAAGTGATATATCTGGTGCTATTTCGAAATATCGAACTATCCTTGGTTACTGTGAGCTGCCTGCTACTAAGTCTCTCAGACGAGCTTTATGTTTACAATTTTCCGAGCTGCTGTTACGTAGTGTATGCATTAAGTCATATCACAAGTATAATGTATCGATGGATCAAGATTCCCCAACAGATAAGGTGTGTTAGTAATTTAAACCAACTTTTTTCTCTCTTGTTTCGATAAATGCTTTCTTCTGTGTCCTCTTAGAGAAACAAAACTTTGCTGGGAATCAAATTTTTTAAGGTCTTTTTGAAATCCAAATGTTTAAGGGTAGTCAACTTGAAATATCAGTCATTGTAAACAATATATATCTAAACAGCTGCCCTAGAGATCTTTATTTCAAATTTAGACAAACAATATTATCATTTATATCGGCTCTCTAAGGATGCTGCTGCTACTTAACGTAGGAATTTTGATTACCGGAGTAGTGTCATGTGTTTAGCAGGTTCATTGTATAACCTTAATGTTATTCAGAAATTACGAAGTGATAATCTGCAGCACAAGCGTAAAAATTATTATGTACGTGTGTATGAAATCTCTAAATCACTGAAAAACCTACACATAGTCACTGATTCTCAATTCTCTTCCGTTACCTCATCCACTTTCAGGAAATGTAAAATCCACCAAAAAGACTTGATTAATCGTCTTAGTTTCATCCGAAAATCATGTGTTTTAATTATCTGTATCATAACGCCTCCATTTGTCAGTTTAACGATTCTGTCACCCAGTAGTAATTAGTATGAGACTTCTGATCAAGGAAGATTTATACGTTCCACTATCCTTTCTTCAATTAGTAAACTGAAGGTTTGTAAACAAACTGGTCTCTGTTAAACTCTTTTGTTCCATAGGACATGTTTACTACCTATTCAAATGATCATTTCAAAATCACAAAATATCACTCATTAGATCAATAGTCCCAAAAACTGTGATCGCTCTTCGGGCTAACACGTCATTTGGTTAGATTATTTGTCAATTAAGAGTCAGTTGAAAAGTATCCTTTGTTTAGTTTTCTTAGATTTTTATAAAACCTGAAGTTATATTCTAAAAAATTATGAAGCATATTTGAACTTATTAATTGTTAGGCTCCTGGATTAGTAATTTACGAATTTGTATTGTTTATTGTCTGTAGTAGGAATTGAATGAATTCATAGTTAATAATGTTGCACGGGTCAGTGAATTTATGACCAAGATGTTTAATTTTTAGCCACCAAGCCACTTTACCTACTTCAGTTTGAGCAACGGAATATTATCATTAGCCAATCAGAGAGCATAACTTATACTCAAAGTACCTTGTAAATGAGTTAATTTATTCATTTTTATTTGATACAATAAGATAGTAATTTGCCATAGATTTTCGTGACGTTATTAATATTTTAAATGTAATGTGTAAAACTTGATTTGTTGATGAAGTATTTTTTTACATCTTGTCACGAATGTATATAATGAATTATCGTGCTTTATTCGCCATTATCCGAGCTCAAAGTTTCACACTTCGACGAAAGTTTGCTTTACAAGATTTTTTTTAAAATCACGTTTTGATTCATTAGTAAATAGTTATCAGAAAATTACATTCTACAAGACTGTTTTCATCTTATACTATTTTTTGATGTTAGGATTCTCAACTGATTCCATATCGGTATCCTACCAATAGATATATTCCAGATAATCGAATAGAAGAAGCTGTTTTCTCGTTAATGATTTCTGAGCATATAGTAAGTTATGCTAATTATTTATGTATGGAAAAATTTTATAATTGATTCCATTGGTTTGTAGAATGTTTTAACAAGTTTCACAGGTCTTAAGTGTTTTCTTAAATTTATTACTGGGAAATGCATTATAATTCACGTTAATAATAATAAGTTGAATTTTTTTTAAATTGACACGTATAATTTTTACACAATTGAATAGTTCAATGTTTTAAACTATTACTTTAGTATATTGTCAGAAAACATTTCTATTATTTCTCTGTAATCAACAGTTTTAACTACAAACAATATGATTGTGGTTTCGATTTCAACGACGCTCAAAGTATTTACTTTAATGTTACTTTTAGCTACAATCGATCCCCTAAAGTTTCTTGAAAAAGGTAAAACATGTTAATTTGGTATGATAATCACTATCCAATTCCAATTTATATAAGTAGTTTGAAATTTTTCACTCAGTTAATGATTCATCTAATCTGTATTAAACAGCGAACTGATTAATAATTGTGACATCTGTGATTTAACTATGGGAGGCCAGACCAAAACATGGCACAAATCAATGAAGTCACTGACAGCCGGACTGAGTCATGTTGATAAGTGTCGATTACCTGGTTGGGGCCCGTAAGATGATAGTAATCGATGGTTAGAGACCTTGAATGACATGGCTCAAATCGTTTGCGATGGCGTCGATGCATCCATTCTATGTCTTCTCTCTAATGCTTACCTGAAGTCCCCATCACCTTTACCCTTCTCGTTGTAAGTTGTCGACTGTATTATACTTCTTGAATAATACTTTCGAACTCTAATCTTCTCCATTACCGATAATACTTCTACGACCACTAATACTATGGTATTTGAAATGATAGTTTCATCTCTGTGTTAATGTGGTATGGGAACTTGAACTGATGTATACGCGTACGAAGTTCTACGTTGTAGCTGACTGACTGATATCTGTGAATTATCATTTATTCAGCTTGTTGTTTTTGTTGTCATACCAATTTCTGTCAATTTAAAAATTTTGAAAAAAACTTTTATTGCCAACTCATAATAACTTTATCATATCACACGTATTTAACAGAGCATCACATACTACTGTAAGAAATTAATGTTGAAATTTTATCACTCTTAATTGAAACGTTCTCTAAATTATCTAATCAGTGGAGTTGTTTCTAGTCTTATCAAGAGATAAAAAAGGTACTATATGTGTTCTACTCCCATTTTCAATTGATTAAAATCAGTCTCTAAATATTTTATCCCATTGTTTTAAAAAAAAATAAAATAAACATTCACTTTGCCTTGTTGTTTTATCATGCTTTTTTTTGTTTGAATTTATAGGCTAGTCAAGATGTTATACTTAATCGACCATCAGAATTATCTGAACCTCAGATAGTCCGATCATTTAACAATGCAGCTGCTGTTTACGATTTGCTTGCCATCCTTCTTACTAAAGTTAGACATTTTAAATTTCTTTCCAAAGTGAGTTATTTTAAACAGTTATGCCTTCTTAAGAAGGAACCCAGCAATCTAGTATATATGTGTTATCAGTAAAAATTTAATTTTTTTGATTATATATTCACTATAAATCTATGACAATTCAAGAAAGTATTGACATTGGTTGACTTGAAACCATGAGGCCTTTTAACCTTTGATGACAACATGTTTGTCAGTATTACACTTTACAAAGACATAACATTAACAAACCATAAAGAGAATAAAAATTATATAATGATAACATTGAAAATGCATTTACTCCACCAGGATGTTTCTATCATACATAAAATCATCGATTTCAGTTATTATTATATAAACTGTAACCACGACATCAACTTTGTTTAAGTACTTCAGACCAATAGTTAGTTAGTTCACGTGTTATGAACAATTCATCCATGGAACTACAAACCATCACTGATAATCTTCAAGTTTTTATTTTGATCTGAATTCATTAACTTTGTGTTTAATTGTCGTATAGATGAGTGTTATTCGCTTGTTCTTAACTCAAATTGATCATAATCCAGATTAATCAAGCTCTAGGTAACTTAGTGAATAGCTTCGATTCAAAAATTCAAACATCCTAGTGGTATTATAATCCGAGTTAAATAAAGGATACTATATAAATGGTTAAACAGAAAGCGCCTTATTGATTTCTAAAAGCTTAACGTATAGACAGATTAATGAGGAATTTTCGCGTCAATAATTGGAATTTTTACTGTTTCCATGCTTAGAATATTTGACTCAATTTAGCACTTTCTATGTGTTTAGACATCACGAACAACATATTATTAATATAATCAGTATATATAAATTTCACTGCATTTTATATTGCATATTTTTGAAATTATTTTCAATGTATCAAGTGGTAAATTGAGATAACTAAATATGACAATACTTAAGTAAATGATAACAAATAATTTTAGACGAAAAGTTATGTAGAAATTATGCTAATGAGTTGAACTTAGCAATTTAAGCAGTGATTTAATAATTACTGCACTTGGCTGGTACTTAGTAAGTTACCGATTCAAAGCACGCTTTTTTTTAACACTAACCCCTACACTAGCAGAATTACTCAAGGTTGATCACATAAACCTGTACTTGATAAAAATAAGTTAATATTAATACTTATGTAATCATTTATTTAGTCTGTTAAATGAATACATTATTGTGTACACTTTTTATGAGTTAGCTACTTACGATTTATAATCAAAAGAAAATATATGAAGATTACTAAATTAATGGATGGGGGGGGTACACTGATCATTTAGTAATGTGTTATGATATAATGTGGCTGAGTGATATTTCCCCACTAGGCCGAAATATTAGCGTAAACCCTCAGATTGGCGGTAAAAGCAGCTGCCCAGTTAAATAGGCGTTTCTTTCAGCAAAATCAAATTCGTATATACAATTTACCAAACACAAGAATAGGTATGATTAACAGTGGTTTATTAATGAAATAATTGGAGGGTATAACAACTGTAGGTCATTCACTCACTAAAAAAATGGATGCCCGACTATCAGGTTTAATTCTTGCCCTGTCCTATCAACAGTATTCAGTCATTGAGCAGTAATAAATGTCAAATTATCTAGTTTCCTTTGCCATCTGATTGGATTCTGTTCATCAGTAATATGTGGCTAAAAACACTAAATTCTTGGTCTAAAGCCTTCTCTCACGATTGCCTCAAATCATATAATTTCGGAAAAAGATGTAATGTATGTTCGTGTTTTAAGACTTGAGTGGTTCAAATCCAGCAATCATGTAATGATTAATTGAAGGCTTGAAAGCCTTCAATGTTCACTGAATTTTCTAATTGTCTCTAACAATGCAAGCATGTTCGGGATGCGGTTTTCCCCCTCGAAATGCAAAATGTTGCTTCAAGAATGGGTTGCATCGGCACCTGAACTAGTGATAAGGAGTGAAGTAGTCGGGCGTGTAGACCGCTTCATTTATCGTGGGAGTCTCATCAGTGCCGATGGCCTGGTGACTGACGAAATCTCAGCTCGGATATAGAAGGCTCGATTGGCTTTTGCCAACCTGCTTCACTTATGGCGTAGGCGTGATATCCGTTCTCTAATCAAAGGACGAGTGTACTGTGCAGCAGTTCGCTCCGTTCTCCTATATGGCTGTGAAACATGGCCAGTGAGAGTAGAAGATATTCGTCGGTTACTGGTTTTCGATCATAGGTGTCTTCGAAGCATTGCTCGTATACCGTGGGACAACCGAGTAAGCAATGCTGTCGTTAGGAAACGAGTACTAGGCAAGGATGGCAGATCAATCGATGAAGTGTCGAAACTCCATCAGTTGAGGTGGTTGGGACATGTGTTACGTATGCCGAACCAGCGACTGCCTCGACGAACTTTGTTTTGTAGTGTAGGAGTAGGTTGGAAAAAAGTTAGGTGCGGCCAGACCAAAACATGGCAGAAATCCATGAAGTCATTGACTAGTGGACTGAGCCATGTCGGTAATTGTCGACTATCTGTTTGGGGTCCGCGAGATGATAATAATCGATGGTTAGAGACCTTGAATGACATGGCTCAAAATCGTTCGCAATGGCGCAGGTGCATTTATTCTTTGTGTTCTCTCAAACCCTAATCTTCTGGATTCTTCAACACCTCTAGTTTCGACTTTCTAAACTTTTCTCACTGAATCATACTTCTTGAATAGTATCTTCTAACCCTAACCTCTCCGATTACTTCTAATTCCCTTACTACCTCTTCTACTATTGGATTTGAATTGACAATTATATCTCTGTGCTGATGTGGTATGGCAACATGAACTGATGTACTTACGTACCAAGTTCTACGTTGCATCTGATTGAACCATGAACTCACATGATGTCAATGATTATAAATTAAATAATAAGTATTCTATAAAATAATTTTAATCGTATTAACCAAGCTGTGTTTTTTTTTTTCATATTCCCATTTATGTTTATGCATAAAGTGCCTTGAGAAATCGCTCAAATTTTCATATCATCAATTTCATATCTGGTATCAATTCGCTTTATCATTAATCAGTTCTAAACAAGTATGTATTTTATCTCTTTTTATCTCTTATTATTATCACCTCTGAATAATAAACATTTTTATGTAGTTATGATTTTTATTTTCATGCATGCTAAAGTTATTACAGATTGTTCATAATATGATTTCACATGTCTTGTATATATTTCCTGCTCTCACGTATTATATTTGAATTGAAAACTACCTTCATCAACTAAAAAAAATAATATCGACCATAGATAGCATTGAATTGACGTAAAAGTAACAATTAGTGGCTTAATAGTTAAAGTGCCTTAATTCTAGCTACTGGGTCATTAGTTTGTAACCTGTTACACGTATTTTTAATACTCTAAGTATCTGACTAGTATTGTGGTGCGCGAGTGAAAACGTAATGTCTGGCAGCAGAAGATGGGGGAAGATCAAGAAAGGAAGAGCGGGAACACAATGGGATTTGTATGAAACGCATGAACAGTGAAATGTCAAACAATGGATTGATGTTTGCAACAGGAACAGTCCAGTTCGATATGATGGATTGATACTTTGCAAATTAATGGTTTACGATATGGTTTTCCTATTTTACCGATTAACTCTGTAATTTGACATAAATACAATTCGGTTGCCCTCACCTGTGTTCTCCTTCACCATAGTATAACTTATTCCTACTTGTTGAATGTTATTCAAAGCTGAGCACTGAGGCTTGTAACATATCTTTGCAAAAAGTTTTTTTCACTTTTATGTATTGACTAGTTTCCTTGAATTTATGGATGTGTTGATATATTGGCTGCATTTTTATGCGAATTTCTTTTAATAGACAAGATTAAGACATTTAAATCAAGAGATAATGTGTCAACCGTTAATAATCAAATCAATTCTAGTAATAATCTTTAATAAAACTATTGCTTATTAAAAGCATTGGCTGAACATGAACAACATATCTCTCAACCATCACTTACTCTAACTTGCTTTGTTAACTAGCAAAGGATTGTAAAACTCTGATTTTAACTGAATAAATACATGTCATCAGTTCATGAACTTATCAACAATCACAATGAATTATTCTAGGAATTACCCACTTTCTAGTTGGGGTCCATGCAATAATCACAATCCATAGTTATGGTTCTTAATTGATACTATGGCTCTGAATTAATCACAGAGGCATAAATTCATTGATCTTAAATACTTCGTATCTTTAACATAACATTATTCGTCAGTTTCAACCGTTCTCTTCTATCAATTTTTCCTACTTTCGTTTTCAATACTCTTGATTGATTCTTTTTTCTATTCTGTTTTTCATATTAATGAGTTCATTACAATAAACTGTTGTGAGTTGTTTCCAATTAATCCAAAACAAATTTGTACTGCCTTGTTTGTCATTGACTTGAAAAACCTAATGTTAAAATTCATCACAAAGTGATATTACTTAAAAATGGAAACAAATCATCTTTTTTCATCCTGTTCGTATACTGTTCAAATTGCATATTTATCCGTTTTGAAAATTATAAACACATTAATCTCAGGTTAAATAGTTATACACGGCTGTCTGCGCATTGATGATATGTTAGTAATGGAAGCTGTTGATGCATAACCCCCCACCTAATTACAAAATAATAATGAAGATGAACTACCTAGGAAACTTTATTATCCGTAATAATTGCACTTAAATTTCATGTGTATGTTTGTGTAAGTGGTTTGAATAGCCTTGATAGTGAATGTAAAGACGATAACATTTGAGAATCTAGATTACAACTGGTGATTCATTAAAACATGCTAACTTGCATATTGAACATTATCATAATTTCTTAGTAGATAGTAAAACTTAACAAACTTAGTCTACTTTCCATTGTGTACCCTGATACAGAAGGCTCGATTGACTTTTGCCAAATTGCGTCAGTTATGACGCAGACGAAATATCCGTTTTCTGACTAAAGGACGAGTGTACTGTGCAGTAGTTCGCTCCGCCCTACTTTATGGCTGTGAAACATGGCCAATGAGAGTAGAAGATATTCGTAGGTTACTATTCTTCGATCATCGGTGTCTCCGAAGCATTGCTCGTGTATCATGGGACAGCTGAGTAAGCAATGGTATAGTTAGGAAACGAGTACTATGTAGGGATGGGAAATCAATAGATGAAGTCGTGAAACTTCATCAGTTGAGGTGGTTGGGACATGTGTTACGTATGCCCAACCACCGACTGCCTCGACGAGCTATGTTTTTCGATGTAGGAATAGGTTGGAAGAAAGCTAGAAGCGGCCAGAACAAAACATGGCACGAATCTATGAAGTCGCTGACAACTGGATTGAGTCATGTTGTTAGGTGTCGACTATCTGTTTGGGGTCCGCGAGATGATAGTATTCGATGGTTAAAGACCCTGAATGACATGGCTCAACATCGTTTTCAATGGCGCTGGTGCATGCACTCTTTGTGTCCTCTCAAATCCTAACCTTCGGAGTTTCTCATAACCTTTATCTTTCTTTTTTTAAGTTTATTTCACTAGATTCTACTTGCTGAATGATATCGTCGAACCCTTAAATTTCCGATTGCTGCTAATACTTTTACTACCTCTACTACTATGGTATTTGAAGTGACAATTCTATCTCTGTGCTAATGTGGTATGTCAACTTGAAGTGATGTACGTACATACGAAATTCTACATTGCTGGTGATTGATTGATTGTTTGTATGTTGATCGTAGTTAACCCTACATAACGTAAAAAAACCTCTCATATCGCATATTTTCCCCCAGTAACTTCCTTTTATCGAATGTTCTTTTTACACATACATCAAAAGGTCTCATTTATTTGGTTTATGTTTAATAATTCCCTACTTTTTGGTCTTTATAGCTTGTTCAATAGATATTCTTATTAAATAATATAATTTCTATGATAAGCATGAAGTTTTGCTTTTCTTTTTTTTTGTTCATTGTTCAATTCTCTATAGTATTATCGTGGTTATTTAGCATTATGTGAATGTTTAAGAATTGATAATTCGAAAATATCAGTTTATCTATTTGCTAGTTCATTATGTTTGGGTCATTTAAATTTAATTGAAGAAGGAATGGAATTAGCTTCACGTGCAGTTGAGGTAATATTTTACATTTTTTTATCGTTAAAGTTATATACTAGTTTATTTAATGTTTAATAAGTGTCTATTAAATGAATGAGATTGTTTTTCAAATGTATATGAAATATAAATTAAACAGTTGAATGCGTATATCATCATTGTTAAGAATAATAATCTAAAATCAATTGAAAAGTGAACAGAATGTTGCTAAGAAAATAATGATATCGCAAATGTTGTATTCTGTAATTGTTAGAACAATGAAATTGAACATATGATTTTGAAATTCATCACTTAAACTTGCCTATATTTCATTGAGAAGAGTCAGTGCTTCCAATCCTATTGTCAATCAAGATTCATTGATTCATAAATTCTCATTGAAACTAATATCGGATAAAATATTAACCAACTATTTGCCATTGTGCCGTCGAAATTCTATGCCTTGTTTATTTAAATACAAATAAATTGCATATGTAATTTTTCTTTTAGGTTGCTTCACAGTCTGAAACAGCCTTTATGGCTCGAGCTCATTTACTAGTTGGTTGGGGTTGGTCCATATTGGCTAGATCCTGCTGTGTTGTGGATAAAAAGAGTCAATTGCGCAATCGTGCTGTAAAAGAATATAAAATGTAAGTTTTATTTTTATCATCTAAGTGTATTTAATATGATATTTTATCAATCGAAGCATCTCATTAATCATGATCCTTTTGTATTCTGATTAGACTCAACACATAGAAAATATTTACAGCAATAAATAAATGATCATACGAATACAGTGTGACGATATGTATAAGTCTCTTCAAGGTGGAAGTTTCAATCATTCCATAGAACGATATTAAAATCTTAGCATTTGATAAGCTTATTATCAGTTTGATCACCCCAGTGATACCGAAAATTCTATCAGACTCCTTAACACAAGTTAAACTTTTAATGCGCTCAAGCCTTTTATTCTGAGAACCAGTCACATGCGACGTATAACCTGATGCATATGTGTATCGATTCGAAATGCTACAAGATAAAATGTTCAAGCCAAAACCTGTAATAGTAGAATTAATAACAGTACCATATGTAATAGAAAAGATTAACTATAAAAATTTTAAAAATATATAAAAAGTTTTCAGGACTCAGGAAAGGCCAAGAGTAAATGTACCAGCGGCGTTTGTGAACACTTCTAAGTCATATCACCGAATATCTCTAAACATTGATTACAACAATTGCACAAAGCCCAACTAGATAGTTTCTATAATTTCGCTCAAGTTAGATTATGAGTTATGGTTTCTCGTCTAGTATTCACAAAGCTTACATAGGTGACATTCAAAATTTGCATATATGTCACTTTATTATTCAAAGAAGCTTTAAGCATTCCAAATGGATTATTAGAAATTACAGGTGCTTCAAAGAACAGATCCATCATATAATCGGTGTTACGTCTATCTGTTCTTTACAATCGATTCATATCAGTAATATTCATTGGTTTATATTATTTAAGACTTATTTTTCCATACAGCAAATTCATTAATCAATACAGTAATTAGTGATTTCGTCAATTTATTCCAAAACTTAAGTTGAAACTGTTTTGTATATAAATGAAAGACGTTCAATGTCTACTGAAACTATATTGCATTATATATATAAATCTGATTTATTTTTTCTTCATTTCATTCAAGTGCTATACAACTAGATCCGGATGATTATCTAGCATGGTATCATTTAGCTGTGGAATTAGCTACACAACGTCATCTAGATGAAGCATTATCAGTTTGTCAACAAAGTTTACAATTAATGCCAATTCATTCGAATACATTGTATTTATTAGCATTATTGCATACAGCTGGAGGGAAACGTTTAGATCAAGCTGCTAAAGCATTATATGTTGGTTTAAGTGATAGACCGAATGATTTTAATTTATTATTTTTATTAGCTAAAATTGAAGAAGCCAGAATTAATCCGAAAGCTGGATTAAAAATTTATCGTCAACTGTTAAAAATATGGCGTGATACATTCTTATTAGGCAGTAGTGATTCCAAGTAAGTGTATATAATATGTTATTTGAAATTAATTTATATTTGGTAATTACAATAATATGTGTGTATGTATGCATTGATAGAGTATATATGAGATATTTTCTTCTATTGAATAAATGTAACAGCGAATTTAAGAACTTATCATAACTACAAACAACACCACAATTTTCTGCAATATATACCAGCTAAACTCAGAAAATAATTCCTTTGTAGAATCAAGCTAGGATTTAATTAGTTACAAATGTACTGACTAGTTTGTAACGGTCATTCTCTTTTTAATGATTAAACTAATTGGCTTTCAAACATTAGGTTAAAAATTAATTTCACTTTACTTATCGAATAGTATCACTAGTTGTCAAATCTAAACTGTTCCTTATTCTGAGTACACTAATCGAATACTTTGTAAATACTTTGTAAAACCGCATCCCGAACATGCTTGCCATTGTTGCTTAGGGTGGTCAGAAGACTCCGCATTTTGTCAGCGTCTTCACCGAATAGAACTATGTCATCGGCATATTCTAGGTCAGTAAGCGATTTTCCTGGTAGAAGGTCAACCCCTGAAAAATCTGACGAGCTTAATGTTAACTCTAAGAGGATGTCTACGACAAAGTCAAACAAGAATGGAGAGAATGGACAGCCCTGACGGACACCACTTGATGTAGAGAATTCAGATGACAGTTCGCCATATGCTCTCACCCGACCAGTGGTGTTCGAGTAGAGTGCTTGTATGAGGTTAATGTACTTCTTTGGTACACCTTTCAACGACAGACACTGCTACAGAACCTCACAATCCACTGAGTCGAATGCCGCTTTTAGGTCCAGGAACACAACTATTGTAGGACGACTGAATGTGTGTCTGTGTTCAAGGACCTGTCGTAGTGTGAAGATGTGGTCTATACAGCTACGTCCAGGTCTGAAACCAGCCTGGTTTTCTCTAGTCTGCTCTTCACCAGCTCTAGTTAGACGTCTAAGTATAATTGAGGCTAACAATTTAGAAACTATATTAGTTAGACTTATATAGTACACAGTGATACAATATAATGAGTTGAATAATATATCAAATATCGACTTTTGAGCAATATAAATTGGTGCTAGATGATACTAGGCGTTTGATACCTATCTTTCACCCGAAAATCACTTTCTGAGTTCTCATGTTCGATCTTCAAACCATATTTATTCCTGAAACATGTTAAACTGAAACAGATCAACTATACAATATTTCCTGATATTTAGTATTTCTTGGTTGACTCCATTTGGTTCATTGTAAAGTTTATTTTTTTTCATTAATTACTACCTTGAAGCTTTCAAATAACATACATTTTCTACACTTTAAATTTTTCAGAGTGTTATTCAATCGAATTCGAAAAACCGCTTTATCGAATAATAATGATACAACTAATTTCAATACTAATGATGACGTAACACTTCCAAATACTTCTGCATTCAGTCCATCATTAGAATTAGACGATGATTGTTCATTATTAAATTTCTGTGAAGAAAAAACTCCTAACAATATCAACTATTTACAGTTTGCACTTTCTGACATAGCAATTGGCTGTCCTGGTCAAACTGGTGCATCTATTGTACCGATTACAAGACAGTCTCGTTCGGGCAATCAAATTAAAACGACAGCTTTAAAAGTACAAATTAAGATTTATCAAGGTTTAGGTAGGTATTATGTGTGTGTTTTTAAATTTCTTCCCTGTATTCAAATACATATTTTTTACTGATCTATTTCGTCCTCAGTGTATGATGAACATGTACTTATAGTTCTGCATTATATTATCTATTCACTGTTAAGGCTATGTAATTTGCTCTCTCTTTTATAAAACCTGTCAGATTATTCTGACCAAACGATTGAATAACACGTGAAGTTTGATAGTCAACGCAAGAGATTTAACTGCAAAAAAGATATTATTGATAGAAAAACAATAATTAGCCAGGTTTACAGTCCTAAAATCGTGAGCTAAGGCTTCAAGAATGCTTTAAAACACGGTGACCGGTAGGGGTACTTTCTCCAAAAAATTATGCGAGAAATAGTTACTGAAGCTGTATAAATTGAATAGTAAATCAGTAATATCAGTCAGTCGATTAGACTTGATTTTGACCAATTTGGTCTCGCGTGCTGTTACGGGTATGAGGGCGGTTGTCACTTCCCGGTTGCACACACCGTGGAAGGTTGTTTCTAGAGGAACCTGAAAAAGAAGGTAGATTCGCGTTGGTCTTAGAGACCTGGGTGCGTGACCGCAGAGCCCAAGGGACAACTGCTTGAGGCCGGTAACGCACGGCCTTTTTATGGGGGATTTTTCGAGTATTAGCTCCGCTCTTAAAAGCCCTTAGTGAGCACCCTTACGGCCGGAGACGGAAATCCGTGAGGTAGGGTGAGGTGCGACATTTTTAGGGTCGACCTTTTCTAACACTTCATTCCTTGTAAGAAGGCAGCATCGCTGCAGATGCTGGTTGTCCGAGGGAAACACCTTACTGCTGTCACACCCCTGTGCAGTCAGCAGTACGACTTCGCCCTCAGACCTTGGGTAGCTGCTTTTAGTCTCATCGTTCTCCAATCGACCTACCTGGCCTGGTAGAACCTTGAGGAACATATGTTCCAGCCAGTATAGCTCTGCTGGGTCATGACGATAGGCAAGCCCGACCACCACGTCAAGGTAGCAGCTACGGTCGGGTTGTACTTACGTACGAAGTTCTGTGTCGTTTCTGTCTGTCTGTCTGGATTAGACTTTAAGCTACGCAACACTTATTAGAGAAGCTGTTACGAGCAAATTGATCTTCGACAAACGACCTGAGATATGAATAGAAAATCTTAGGATTTGTAAGACAACACAATCACACTAATAAGATAGATGAAGTGTCAGGAATAAATTTTCATACTTAGGTACATCACAATTTATAATACATAGGCACTATAAACCCCACGTTTAAAAATGTTTGATAACAATATCAGCCACTGAATAATGATAATACACTAAAAAAAAGAGCGTAAATTTAGGAATAGAAGAAAGTAGCGAACCGGACTTAACAAAATCAATGAAGTTAAAAAAATAACAGTACAGCTTAAGTCAGTTTGTAAATACTCATTTGTTGAAAAAGGTTAGATACTCATGTGAATTGTAATTGTAATTGCAATTGTAACGTTTTAATTAGTTTGATATTCACAGAATAATAAAAAGCACAATAAATGAAAGTTTTAAGTGGCACAGTTTAGGTATAATTTTCATCAGAAACTGACATTGGTTAAAAAGTGTTTGAAAACCGGTAAGCACCGAACATCTGTTTTGCATTGTTTTGAAACCCCTGGGCACCCAAGAATCAATATCTTATTGATCGTAGATTTTTTATAGCACTGAAATCAAATGATATAAAATGCTTCTCATGTCATTTCATTCAATTTGACTGAGTTGACAGTTCGATTGAATTACCTTTTTCGTGATTTAATTTTTTATTTCTTATGGTGAATTAGTAGTAAACTGAGTTTGTTAAGGGAAGCTTTTTGAATGAGAACTATTAGCACTTACTTATTCAACAGTCGAAAAAGGAGGTTGGAGCGAGTTTCGAACCTTTTGTCTATTGACTGAAATTGGAATGGCTGCTCTTAAATATTTAATTCTGCTAGGTTGTCAAGATTCAACTTTTTAACTGGTTTCACATTCTTTTCAAGAATCACTTGTTCAGTCATAAATTAGGGATACATGACAAGTTATACTTTATTGGTGCCAACATTCTGGACTTGTTTTTAAGTTATCACAAATAATCTAATCAATAAACATGCAATCGCATTGCATTTTTGTTATACTCCTTTTCACGTCATTTGATTAGTAAATCTTAGTCGATGCCGAAACAACAATGACCTAATGTCAAATGCGATCCCATAGCCTTAAGTAATAATTTTATCTAAATAATCCAGTCGAATAGATAGACGTCATCATTAAAGCGCTTGCGACAAATGTGTATTGGACCAAGTTGCCGTACCCTAATTAGCACGACATGATAAAAATAACGAAACAGACTATCATCATGTACAAGCAATTACAAAATGAGAATAAACCTAGGGAATATTGTTTGAAAAGACACATTAGAAACGTATGTGGAAAGAGATTGAGAGGAAGATAAAGGGTGAATGTATCTGTGCCATTGCAAACGATTGTGAACTAAGTCGCCTAAAGTCCCTAATAACCACGTGCCTCAGTCCAATTGTTAGTGACTTCATTGACTGATGCTACGTTTCTGTTTTACCAACGCATTATTCTTGCCAGTCAAGGCAAACAATGGATGGATATTCGTCTCATGTATCCCAACCACCTCAGTCAATAAGGATTCATTACCTCATCAATCGGTCTTCAACCTTTGCCATGTAATCTCTTAAACATGTCTAGTTGAACTTTTAAAAGCATTATATATTATCTCAATTTATGTTAGATTTAGCTAATTTCATCTCACTGCTAATCTTCAACATTCCTTACAGCGGAGTCATATTTAGACAATAATCAATTATTTGAAGCCAAAGAAGCATTAGATGAAGTAATGAAAATTGGTGGTCTCGATAATCAAACATTATATCTTGTAGGTTATTTTTTAATATTTATAACAAAAACTGACCTATTTTTATTGATATTTGAGCTCTGTCAAACCAGATAACAAATTTTACTAAGATTATAGAATCGTGTGGCATGAATGTATGTTATGTCTCTAAAACCCTCATACACAACTTAGTTTTACATTAAACTCATATAGCAAAACTAACAAGTAAGCACACTGGGTTTAGAAGTAAGTTATTGAATAAAGGTAGCAGATTCGTTGGTACATCTATATGCTTTCATCGATTGGAGTTGTTAAAACATGTATCATGCATTCTAAATCACCTACCACCTAGACGTACTAATCTATCCAGGGGATAATTAGAAGTGAGAAACGAAAATCATGGAACCAGTTTGTGTAGTTGATGACTGTTGGATTGAGCCTTTTCGGAGACCTCAGTTTTCCTAGAAAATCCTCAATTCGAGTAGAGCTGTTTGATAAAATAGCTCTAAATCGATGGCGGTGACGCCGAATCTTTTATAATTTACATTGTTCGAAATACCCAGTTTACTATTTTATCAGACTTCGCATATTTATATGTTCCTTTCTAATTGTACTTGTTGTTTAGTCGACATTAATATTTTTACTTCCTGGTTTCACATCATGCTTTCCTTTTTATTTGTGCTTATGTAAAACGTGGCACCCTAAATTGAGATATATTCAGTTGCGTCGATGAATGATTGATATGTTATCTAAGTTACTCTTTTGATTAAATATATTTGGTGGTTTCAATGTGTTTCTGACCATACTCATCTAGTTTATTTGTTCAATCCAGCCACAACTTCTATTGGACTCAATGCTCAATGGAAACTACCAGCTATAATATGTATTGGTGTCATTCAACTTCTTTATCCAACTAAATTTCATAACAATAGTTATATATATATATAAAGACAGAGAGAGAGACTTCGTTAACTGTAATTCTGCCTTTTGAAATTGATTCATTTCGGAATTGAGGATCGATTCTGTTAAAAACGTAATCTTTCGACTGCACAGCTTTATCGGTTAATCATGTCTTAACGAACTCATTGTTACTTGGAGTTTTTGAGTTATACTGTATGTACTTGTTTTAACAAAAGCTGTAATAATCTGCTTTAACCATTCAATTATGATCATAGTGGTTGTTTGTATATTAATGTTGCTGTCTTACGGTATACGAAGTCTTGATATTTTCGTGTTTCTGTCTACAAATTTAATAGCGCGGACGTTTAGCTGAAAAACGAGGACAATCATGCATAGCCCGATCTCTATATGAAAGCGTGATTGCATTAAAACCGGATCATTTACAGGCGTTACTCTCTTTAGTAAGTTAAGTACCTGTTATCATTCCTTTTTATTGATATTTAGAACTGAATTTGGAGAAATGTTTGTAGAAATATTTTCACAGTAAGTGGATGTCACATTAAAAAAGTTGGTTGCTTTGTTGGAACAAGCCGTTGACCGAACGGACGTTTGTTTCGAAAAACTACAGAATTTTTATGCAGTTTGTGCACCTGGTCCTCGCATCATCTGATCTCTAAACTGTTTTGAACACGCCGTGCTTCTGACCTCCTGAAACTCTTCTCTTCGTTACGTTCCGCTACAAACTAATATTAAGCAATTTTGTGAGTAACATCCACCACACTCCCCCTGCCGTCAAACTACCGCGCCTGTAAGCATGCTGACTTTCGTTATTCTGTCGTAATCACCGTTTCATGGATTCTGATCTACTAGTCCACTGAATCCACTTTTAAATCTGGTTAGCGTCCATACATTTCTATTTGTTACGCTTCTTAATAGTATACACCGGTTCGCGCCTCGCGGTGACGAGTATGCGATTGTTCGGATCCTCTTGATACCTAAAAGACCTAGACAGGATGTGAACCCATTACTCTCAAAACATGAACTCTAACCTGTCGATATCATTTTTGGGACGCCATGGCCTACCACAATGTGCCGAATGACTGTCTCCGTCGCTCCTACCGCATCGATCCAGAATTGTAACTGCATCTACCCAGTATGTATCGTGTTCTGTCACTGTCAGCAGGTACTGGTCGCCAATCGAGGTCTGTGGAAACGGAACACCATGTCTACTGACCATAGATCTACAACTTATCACTGAAATAGGCCGCGAGGCTGACATAAGTATTCAACCTTAGACCTAATTATCTGTGATTTCGACGCAACAGCCTGTCGTTCCTAAGAATTCCAGCGACTTCCTACTTACTGTTTGTGCTACTAGCGTACGTGACCTAGGCTTCTAATAGTGCAGTACGTCTATTAAAATTATCGCTGCATCCTTGTCGACCAAGCCTACCAACGCTTCTCCGAACACAACTGGTCTTCCGACTCACCTTCCAGCGCGTTGAATTAGGTTCGTTACAGTAAACGTTAAAACAAGCGGGTCTCCACCCAAAGCGTGGCGCAGAGACTTGAACCACTACAACGCTGTCTGCCGATCACACGAACTACGGGACTGTCAGCAGCAGGACGTCCTATGTTTCCCTCTCGGTGATAGTCTATTCTATCAAATGCCTCCGCCCGGCCGCTCAGCATTGTACTTTGAACCGCCACCTGCTCTTATACTCGAACTAGTTAAACCGTTATTACCTACCAAGGAAAGTCAGTTTCTGTTATCGCTTAGTTGATAACAACTTACCTATATAAGCGTTCAGACGTCATACAAAAGTGATTGATTTTATCATAGTAGCATCATATGTAATTTGCCTATATTGCATCAGTAATATCTTGTTCTCAATCGGATAGATCGTTGCTGTGGTTTAATTATTTAGTCCCATAGATTATAACACTTCTATTGTTACTTTTAACTCATTCAGAGATCCGATTTTGTCGATAGTAGCTCCGTAGTTATTTGTGTACGGCCTAGACTTTTTTCGGAACTGTTTTAAATGTTTTATTCATGAATCGGAAGTCAAATACTTCAGTTTGTATCTGTGAGGTTTAAATAAATTGGTCATCTGATTTCATTAGCCTCCATTCATGTTAATTATTGAATGGAATTACTAAATTAAAAAAGTATTATGGGCTTTATCGAAACTATTCACTGATAAAGAATACAGTTCTTATTCCATGAAACAATAGATATGCCGTCGAAATACCAGTCAGCTGATGCTTTTCCTTTTAACCACTAAATTCATTCAATTTCGCTGAAGATAATCTGTAAAGTTGACCGCTAAGAAACTTCTAAATAGCTTTTATTTTCCAGTTTATGCTTCATTATCTGTTATCTAGTCCATTATGACAACAATTATTTTTGATGTTTCCATTTCTTATCAGGCTAATCTTTTGTACAAAAATAATCAAACAACTCTGGCTGAACGTGTTGCGCGAGATGCAATGAATGTGGATCCAACAAGTTTTCGCGTATGGCGTTTACTCTCGGACATATTAGGGTCATCAAATACACCGGAACCAGCATCTGAAGCTGTTGTTACACGTGCACTATTAACAGCTATTGAGCTGGAACAAACTGAACCGATTGAACCATTTTATTGCTTACCTCTTGGTGTACGATGTAGTTAAATGTGATAATATCCTTTTGTTACTCCTGATCTTTTACATTACTTACCACTGTAATTATACATATATATCTTCCTTGTAATCATAGTTGATAATATTTATGAATTAACTTATTTATACGCTGATTGATCAAACTACCTTTGCATTCCTTCAAATATAGATAAATAAAATATGACACAGAAGTTGTTTTACGCTTTCGATACTCAGTATCAATCTTGATTGTGATTATACTTACTTATTTACGTCTGTTACCCCCAATGGAGCATAAGCCGCCGACCAGTTTTCTCCAACCAACTCCATCCTGGTCTTCCCCTTCCAGTTCTTTCCAATTTTTGTTCATCTTTCCCTATTTCTCGGCGTAATGTGTTCTTTGGCCTTTCTTTTTTCCTTTTACCTTGAGGTTTCCAACAGATGGCTTGCCCTATGACGCAGTCAGGTGCCTTTCGCAGTGTGTGTCCTATCCACTTCCAGCGCTCCTGATTTCCCAAACCTTGTTGAAGTGTTGTGAAATATTTTTACAGTTACTGCCACGTCTGCTTTCATTGCCTCTGCTGGAATGTTATCTGGTCCTGCTGCTTTGCCGTTCTTGATTTGTCTGATGGCCATAATTGTGATTATACTCGATATATGCTTTGCGATATACATGGTTGGGACATGTGTTACGAATGCCCAACCACCGACTGCCTTAACGAGCTATGTTTTGTGCTGCAGGAGTAGGTTGGAAGAAAGCTGAAGGCGGCCAAACCAAAACATGACACAAATCCATGAAGTCACTGACAAGTGGACTGAGTCATGTAGGCTACTTGGTTAGGGTCCGTGAGATGAAAGTCACCGATGGCTAGAAACCTTAAACGACATGGCCCAGAATCGTTTACAATGCCGCAGGAACATTCATTCTTTGTGTTCTCTCAAATCCTAACCTTCACAGTTCCTTATCACCTTCATCTTCTTCTTTTTAAGTTTATTTCACTAGATTCTACTTCTTGAATAATATCGTCGAACCCTAATCTCTTCGATTACTGCTAATACTTTACTCCCTCTACTACTATTGGATTTGAAGTGACAATTGAGTCTCTGTGCTGATGTGGTATGTCAACTTGAACTGATGTACGTAAGTACATACGAAGTTCCATGTTGTTGTTGACTGACTGATATACATATGGTCTAACGAAAGTCAATTTCAATTTCCGTAATGTGTCAAGGATTTACAAACTTCACCGTTTCCTCCTGACCGATAGTTAAAAGAATGATTACAGACTCCATATGCCAGTAATAGTGGTTCACACTAAGGATGCATATTAATAGAGATGATCATTGAAAGAATGAATAACATTTTTAATAGTGTGAAATATGTTCGATTTACCCTCTGTCTTTGCCTTACGAACAATCACTTTTTTGTAATCGTACGATGAAGAGTTTGCTTTCAACAGATACTATAATTTTTCAAACTCAGTAACCAGATGTTGTTCCCACTACCGCAAACCATAATATTTCGTGTACCTTACATAACTACTATTTGAGTAGATTATTTTATAAACGAACAAGGTGAATAAATACCGATTGTTAAGCAATTCCAATATATTAGATGTTCAATAATATTTTAAAAGAAAATATAATCATAAAATATCTGCATGTACAACATTCAGCATTCATAAAATTCACTTTAAAAGCAATACTGTCACAATGTTTTGTTTAATGTAAAAGTATTTTTTTTATTCAACAAATTAATTTCACTGATTTTTTTAAAAACCAACTTTTCCAAGTCTTTCATCAGTTTTCGGATCTGCTGTCAATTTTTGAACATGTACTATACCAGCATTTGCTTGATTTTGTAATTTTCTTAATCGATCTATATTTAACAATCTTAATGCAATAGCTGCAGCTTTTACAACAGGATCATCAACACTAAATCCAAGACAAATATCATCAAGCTTTAGCATATCAATCTAAACAATGAAATAGAAAAAAAATTGTATAGTGAATAAACTTTGGAAGTGAAAAGATGTTGTAATTAAGTTTGACTTTTTTTTCAAATGTTATAATTACACCGAACGAGTTTTTGAATAAAATCATATAAACTTATTTACCAATTAAGTCTTTCAGATGGATTATTTAGTTTTTTTAAATTCATTTTATGATATGATGCTTCTAGGTTAGATAAGAGGAAAATGTCATCAACGGGGAAAAAAGTTGATGTAGAAATCAAAAAGATCATCCTACCGTACACAACAGACATATCGGACATGAAAAATTACTGAGACCGTTTAGAAGAGGACGTAGAACACAAAGGAACAAAATCAATTTATTAGAAAAGTTAGATGGCATTTAGTTCAATTTCAAGAAACCGTCTTCATCTTTGCATCAACATCATCCAATTCAAAAAACTGTGACACATGTCCTCTCACGTGAGGTTCATACACAATTATGACATATGTTCAATTGGTGAAAGGTAGGAATCTTGAACAGAGCGAATACCAAGAAGACCATACATAGTACTTTTGGAAATTTAGCACTCAGGTTAATCAACTATTAACAAATACATCGATATCGATACAAATGTTAACCAATTCGGAAAAATTATGGACAAATGGAATGTCGAAAATCAGGTAACTGGGAATGGCAATCAGTATAATTAACTAAATAACGATAATAAGGATCAGGAACAATCAGCCAAGGTAGACAGAACGTCCAGTCATTAATGGATAAATCCAAATAACTCACCCTTACCTGAAGTTTATACTGATAATATTGTCCAAACAAACAATGAAAGTTGCACGATTAAATCATCCAGTATAAAGAACGGAACTACCGAAATGATCCGAGTGAGAAATCTTTATCAGTTTGAAATGTTTCAAAACACTGAACAGATGGAAAGCTCGCTATTAATAATCTTAAGAGAAATACTCTGATAATCTGAAGTTCATCAAAGCATTTAAAGATGTTACAGGGAATTAGAAGTAATCGGAGAGGTTAGGATTAGAAGATATTATTCAAGAAGTATGATTCAGTGAGAAAAGTTTAGAGAGTCGAAACTAGAGGGGTTGAAGAATCCAGAAGATTAGCGTTTGAGAGAACACAAAGATTAAATGCACCGGCGCTATTGCGAACGATTTTGAGCCATGTCATTCAGGGTCTCTAACCATCTATTATTATCATCTCGCGGACCCCAACCAGGTAGTCGACAATTACCGACATGGCTCAGTCCACTAGTCAATGACTTCATGGATTTCTGGCATGTTTTCGTTTGGCCGCCCCTAGCTTTCTGCCAACCTATTCCTACACTACAAAACAAGGCTCAACGAGGCAGTCGGTGGTTGAGCATACGCAACACATGTCCCAACCACCTCAACTGATGAAGTTTCACCACTTCATCGATTGATCTGCCATTCTTACCTAGCACCCGATTCCTAATAACAGCCTTGCTCACTCGGGTGTCCCACGATATACGAGCAATGCTTCGAAGACACCTATGATCGAAAACCAATAACCGACGAATATCTTCTACTCTCACTGACCATGTTTCACAGCTAAATAGGAGAACGGAGCGAACTGCTGCACAGTACACTCGTCCTTTGATTAGAGAACGGATATCACGCCCACGCCATAAGTGAAGCAGGTTGGCAAAAGCCAATCGAGCCTTCTGTATTCGTGCCGAGATTTCGTCAGTCACCAGGCCATCAACACTGATGAGACTCTCAACATAAGTGAAGCGGTCTACACGCCCGACTACTTCACTCCTTATCACTAGTTCAGGTGCCGATGCAACCCAGTCTTGAAGCAACATTTTGCATTTCGAGGGGGAAAACCGCATCCCGAACATGCTTGCATTGTTGCTTAGGGTAGTCAGGAGACTCTGCATTTTGTCAGCGTCTTCACCAAGTAGGACAATGTCATCAGCATATTCTAAATCAATAAGCGAGCCACCTGGTAAAAGGTCTACTCCTGAAAATTCAGACGAGGATAATGTTATGTCTAGGAGCATGTCTATGATAAAATTAAACAAGAATGGAGAAAGTGGACATCCCTGACGGACACCACTTGAAGTAAAGAATTCCAATGACAGTTCGAGTAGAGAGCTTGTATAAGATTAATGTACTACTTTGGTACACCTTTCAATCACAGACACTGACACAGAACCTCACGATCCACTGAGTCAAATGCCGCTTTTAGGTCTAGGAAAACAACTACTGTAGGACGTCTAAATGTGTGTCTGTATCCCAGGACCTGTCGTAGTGTGAAAATGTGGTCTATACAGCTAAGTCCAGGTCGAAAACCAGACTGGTTTTCTCTAGTCTGCTCTTCACGAGCTATCGTTAAGCGTCGAAGTATTATTGAGGCCAATATTTTAGATACTATATTAGTTAGACTTATTCCCCTGTGATTGTCACAAGAAGACTTCTGTCCTTTCTTATAGATTGTGACTATCAGTGATTGAGACCAGTTGGATGGGATTACGTCCAGTTCCCAGATTCTACCTAAGATCTCAGTCAATCTAGCCGCTAAAACTGGACCACCATCCTTAAATATCTCAGGGGTCAGTCTATCAGGACCCGCAGCTCGCCCTCGCTCCAGATTTCCTGACGATTTTTCAACTTCATTAAGACTAGGGGGACTTACGTCGATTTGCCATTCAGGATGACTGGAGATCGTGAGTAACCGAAGAGTGGCTCGAGGCCAGTTAAACTGATCCCTAAAGTGTTCTGCCCATCGATCCAGTCTCCTGGATTGAGAATAAATAATAGTCCCGTCATTTTCTGAGATAGTCTCACTTACACTAGGATTCCTAATACCAGTTTCCTTGATAAGTCGGAAAAAATGTCTACTGTTGCCGATCGCCGCTGCCTTTTCCATCGCTTGTGCTTTCGCCACCCACCACTGTTCGCGATCGTTACGTAGGCTTTTTATAAGTCTGCGCCTAAGTTGACTTCGTTCTTCATCATGTTCAGAGCCAGGTGGGATGAGTTTTCGGGCATCCATTAAATCGGTGGATACTACTGAGATCCATGGCTTTATTCTAGCCTTATGGTCAACCTTACTGGCAGATATCACTGCTGTTTCCACAGCCTTTTTGATATCATTCCATCCTGCCTCCGGATGGGAATCACTTATATGGTCGCCTAACTGTCTTTCTAGTTGTTCCTGAAATATATTTTTCGCCTTATTATCGTGGTGGTGTTTCCTTCTCTGAGCTGGTTGTTTTGGTTGTGGAGCTTTCATTGTTCTTCTGAACAACATCATCAGCACGAACTTCAGATAGAAGTGAAGCATTAGAATTTCTCCACGTTTGACCTGTAGCTTGTTCTGCTAACCTCGATCTGGATTGGTTGTTGTTGAACTTTGACCTGTCGTTGTTTGCAACTATGTTTTGATTGCCTCCCTCTTTTGATCTGTTGATCAAAACAAGATCAATGGAGAATGAAATCCAATCGACCAACAATTCCACGATTCTACGGTAGGCCAAAACTCTACAAACCTAACATCCCACTACGTCCTATTGTATCCCCCCCCCGGAACCCCGACCTACAACTTATCAAGAGAAATCTCAAGGATATTAAAACATCTGGTGGATGAATCCAACTACTCCATTAAGTCTGCCACAGAATTCTTGGATAAACTCAAGAGGATTCAAATTGACAACGACGAAATGATGATATCCTTCGACGTAACAGCCTTATTTACCTCAATAGAACCAAGCTTAGCTAAAGAAACTCTTTCTCTGCTCCTCACCAACGACACAAATCTACACAAATATACAAAGCTTCAGAGTCAAAGTTTGCTTGAACTCATCGACCTATGCTTAACAACATATCTTCAGTTCAACAACAGAGTCTACGAACAAATAAAAGGAACACCAATGGGATCACCAATATCAGGACTCATCGCCGAAGCGGTAATGCAGAGACTGGAAGCGTCGATTCTGCCAGTGATCAAGCCAAAAATGTGGGTTCGCTATGTAGACGACACATTCGTTATTATCAAAAGGAATGAGCTGGAGAACATCTACAATCAGATCAACAACGTCTTTGATGACATCAAATTCACGATGGAAAAGGAATCAAACGACAGCCTATCATTCCTGGATGTACTAATCACCAGAACTAACACAGGAAAACTAGAAACTCAAGTATTTCGGAAGCCAACCCACACCGACGTAATTCTCAACTACGACAGCAACAACCCAAGAACCCACAAGATTAACTGCATACAAACTCTGTTCAAGAGAGCGAAGACACACTGCAGCACATACGAAACATTAAAAAACGAGGAAAAACATCTGATGACTATCTTCCAAAAGAACGGCTATCCACGCAACTTCATCAAAAAACATCAACCAAAACTATCATCAGAATTGAAATCAAGCACAGGAACAAATAAACGCATCATCCTACCATACATCAAAGACATATCGGAGCATACGGCACGACTACTGAAACCATTTGGAATAGGTGTGGCACACAAACCAACGGAATCACTGCAGTCAATCCTATGTAGACCAAAAGACAAAATGACAAAGGAAGAAAAACCAAATATCATCAAAATAAATTGCTCAAACTGTGAAAAACACTACATAGGACAAAGTGGACGACCTCTTCAGCTCTGTTTACGTGAACATCAATTAGCAGTCAAACGCTTCGCTTATATCAATACACACCGACATTTATGGACACATATTTGATTGGAACAACGTGGAAATACTGGGTAGGGGGAGGACAAAGAACACTAGAGAATTTTTAGAAGCTTGGCACTCAGGTCAATTAGCAATCAACAAACACATCGACACTGACCCAATTTATCAACCAATCAGGAAAATCATACGTGACACTAGATCAAGAAACAGATCAAAAGAGGGAGGCAATCAAAACATAGTTGCAAACAACGACAGGTCAAAGTTCAACAACAACCAATCCAGATCGAGGTTAGCAGAACAAGCTACAGGTCAAACGTGGAGAAATTCTAATGCTTCACTTCTATCTGAAGTTCGTGCTGATGATGTTGTTCAGAAGAACAATGAAAGCTCCACAACCAAAACAACCAGCTCAGAGAACGAAATACCACCACAATCATCCACCATCTCGCCTTATTATCATTAAGTAAAACCCTAAGAGGCTTCCTCACGGTGTCTTTCCTACGTCCAGTAAGCTTCAAACAAATACGCGCTCGCACTAGGGCATGATTTGAATCTAAACATGTGCCCCACAACGAGCGGCAACCTTCTATCGAACCCCTCCATCGGTGGCTGATGGCGATGTGATCTAGTTGGGTCGAACGTTGAGATGACTTTGGAGGTCGCCAGGTCAACAGATGCGTTTCCTTATGCCTAAAGTTAGTGTTTGCTAAGAATAGGCGGTTGTCTGAGCATACTTGAAACAGACGGTCGCCATTGTCTGTTCTCTGAGCCGCGACACCATAACATCCACCTAGGTGTCTTTCATTTTCACTTAGTCTACCTACTTGAGCATTAAAGTCACCAGCCATTATTACTATATCAGAGCGCCTAGCTTTTGGAGGAGGTCCGAAAGCTTTCTGTAAAACTCATCTTTAGCCTCGTCTGAACTGCAGTCAGTGGGGGTATAGGCACAAGCGACTATCCACAGGGATCCAGTCAAGGAGAGACTGTTCAGCTCTACGACTCAATGCTATGCCTACGCCAGCAAGACCCCGGGAAGCAGCATCAGGGCTACCGGATACACGAAGAGTAAATCGAGCTGCTTCTTTATTTTGACAATGTGAAATCAGATTAATAATTTTACTAGGATCCTGTATGCGCGTTTCCGAGACGCAGCATACATCGATGGCACGAGATTCTAAAGTCCCAGCTAATGATGCCTGTTGCCCTATTTGACACAATGTCCGTACATTAAATGCTCCAACATGTAGTCTAGAGCGGGGTTTAAGGAGACCAGGAATGACGTTTCGCGAACTCGTGTCGTCTGCATTAGCTGTGCACTGTGATAAATGAATGTGAGAAGAGTTAGTTGTGCAGATAAGAGAGGTACTAGGGGGTGTAGTAAGGATTTGATTTCGACCAATTTGGTCTCTCGTGCTGTTACGGGTATGAGGGCGGTTGTCACTTCCCGGCTGCCCACACCGTGGTAGGTTAATATACAACTTAATACAGATTAAAACCAATCTCAATATCCAAGTTCTTATTGGTCTCAGTAGTTGTTGGGATGAGGGAAACAAGAAACAGTGACAAACAGCGGAAGCTTAATTTGGAGACATTATTGTACCCAATTGAAAGCCTAATAAATACTAGCATTTAATTTTGTTCCTATCTTATTCTGCATCAAAATTATTGTAACTTAAATGCGACTCCCACACCCTATTTTTCTACCCTAAACAGCTAGTTTAAGCAAACTATATTTTTCTAAATCCTTGTGCTTTATGGTCTCGCAAAGTATATATTTATTCATGTGTCCTTTTTCGTAAATGGAATCAGGAATATATTGAGTAGCGTTCCGGTCGATTAGTTTTCTATCGCTCACTCGCTAGCCAGTGCGGTGGTAGAATAGTTTCCTATCCTACGCCGAGACCGTCTAGTCATAACCGAAATCACGTGCTACTAATCTCAAAGTTAACTAGAAAGCCTATCGTGCAAATGCCTTTAAACTGGATTGAAACAAAGATTATTTCCTGTGTATTAGTAGCAAACGGCTCAAGAACGTGACAGTAGTGGTTTGAAACATAATCATCTAAATAGCTTACTGTGGTGTGAGTTTCTGTCAGTTTGTTTAGCCTAATGGACTAAATTTCCACGCTAGTGAGTGAAAATAAAAAATATTTTAAAACTTACAATTGCATACAACAACTTATTAATGACGTTAGAACGCAGCTAACTTCCAAGTTTATTCGATGACAGAAGGCTTGTCTACACCAGTACAGTTAAATCTTTCCATCATTACTCTCAGGCGCTCACTAAGATACTTAAGTCACTAAGTGAAGACATCTATCTTCGAATAAATGAAATCAAAACCAAATACATAACTATAATATCTCATTCGCCAACACGTAGTTAATAACGGGATATTTTATAGTTCTATGAAATAATTATTACCCCAGCCTCTAAATAGAAGACCGGCTTCTTTTATTACAAACAAACTGGATCGAAAAATATTATAATCAAAGAGTGAAACACCGCATAATAGTTTTTAAATACTAGTAGTAACATTTCGACTCAGTGTCAATGTGGATCTCCAAGGTATTATTAACTTGATTTATATAACATACAATTACTCAGTACATGTCAGTTTACTCAAAACCTTAAACTGAAGATTCTTGCACGCTATGTCTAAGCATTAAAACTTAGACTGAATATACCACTGTACCATTTTAAGTACGAAATTGATAATACCATAATTCCGAAAGGTAAAAGCCAACTAATAACAAGGTCAGTAGCACCATTTCGGTCATCATCTGGTGTCTTAATACAAACGGTTGATTAGTGAAGAAAACGAGATACGTTTCACATTTGATTCCATATAAAAAATTATACATTATCTAATCTCATTTGCTGTATAAGCCTTATACTTACAAGTTATAAAAAAGCGCCATGCCTAGACTACAGTTTTAACATTACACAGAACAGACTGTCACATAAATAAGTAAACATTATGTCATATGGAAGTGTATAACAAATGGTTTCGTGGAAGAATATATGGTGATAAAAACAGGATATGAAATAGGGTCACTAACAAGTGAATGAAAGAATACTTCTAAAGCTGGTTCAAGAGTGTAACTAAATTTACATCAGAAAAACTCACTTTAGATGTTCCATAATCTCTTATGGCATTATTCAATGTATTTACTTCAAGCTTTTGTTCAATAACCAAACAGATAGCCTTGATAATTCAAAAGATGAGTAATTTACATAATTTATACACACCTTAAATAATATTCTGATATCTGGGTGGGCAGGAATCTGTAATAATTTAGCCATCTTCAAGACACTTTCCTTGAATTCGTCACTATTAACTAACAGGATTTTAAAAAATAAGCAAATAAACGAAATTACCGTCTACGTTATTAAAAGCATTTGTGGAAGGTGTTGAGTTGTCAGGTACATTATTATGTTGAGTATTTTTAGCTGTATGTAAAATATGATAACATAAATATAGCCATAATTACATGAGTTGTATTCTAATAGCAACGCTTTGCTAAGAAGCCAATCCAACATAGCCCAAGAATTGGATTCATCATATGGGCACTTGACTGTCTGCAGATACTAAGAGAAATTAGGAAAGTAAGTTGAGAGCAAAAACCTTATTTAGGTAACTTGTCCATTCCACAGATTGACCGTCACGTAATCTTGCTTCAGCAGGAAGAGCTCGGATAAGCCTATCCTCTAGCCATACGACCACATTGCGTACATTCGTTAAATCTATAGTAAAGTGGATTAAGTAAATGAAGTTTATTGCAAGAACCTGAAACATCGAATACATCGTACACGGGATAGTTGACAGAATGGAGCTTGAAACGCAATCGTTCATTGGCTAGCATTGCAACAATCCAGCGAAAGAGGAAAATATCAAAGAAATCAAGTCTGACCACATAGAGAGAAAAAAGGTAAACCTGAGTTATTTTAATACATAATGGTAAGCATGTAACAACCTGTTACCTTAATTAACAACCAATTATCTTTACAAAACAAGACTGATAAGCAACTTACGATCATCGATTGGTAACATGAGTATATATTTTATACTTACAGCCAAATGTTCCAACATTATCTTAGACAATTATCCGTGGGTCGAGATTAGCGTAACTGATTTGCAGCCACTGTCATATGCCTTAACCTAAAGACAGCCCTTGATCCCAGATCGACAGGTTTTATAGCAATGTCTGTGATCGAGAGGCGTACCATCTCATCTTTCACGTTTGAATTTAAACCTATTATAAACCTTTCTTTACAATAAATGCTTTTGTCATCTAGATTCTTTAAAATTGATCTCCTAGACGGATTTGTTAGCTTAAGATATACAGAGGAAGCTTTTGTTTGGTTCGGACGCTTAAAAAATATAGTCATGACTGACTAAGGTAACAATGCATGTGATCCTCTCTCTCCAGATGAGAAATTTCGCCTCAGGACTGATCTAAATCAATGCCTAACTTAGTGGTAGGTAGTGAAGTAGCTGAGGGTGTTTATCATCTTAATTATCTAGAAAGCCTTATTAGAGTTGGTGTCTGACGAGATTTTGATACAGATTCAAAACGCTCGGTTAACTGCCTTAAATCGTAGCGCAGATGAGACTTTTGCTCATTAAGCAAAGGATGATTATATATTACAGTAAATCGCTCTATTCTGACTTGAAATAGGTGTTTTAAGAGATCATAGGTGTATTTGGAGCACTGTTTATGTATGCTTGGACCACCTAGTAATTCTGAATTTAGATACACAATAGTAGAAAGAAACAATAAGCCAATATATGAGCCACTGGATTTTAACTAACAAGACGATTATGACATGTAGTACGTATGGTTGAAAACGATCTACCTTCTTGCACGATGATGGCTAGTATGAGTAGGCCTTTAAAAAGCAATTGTACGACTACACTAAAATGTGGCATTAGTCCACTCATTCAATCACAACCGTAACATTCTCAGTATCCGAAGTACAAATCTGTTAAAATAACAATTACCAGGCTCAAAATAACGACCATTGTATTATCAAGCCACACTAAATCATAAATAAATACTGGCAACACTAGACATGTAGCCAAAAAACCACTTGGCAGACAATACTTGTAGACCCATCTACAAAAGCTCACAGGAATTAAGGGGGTGACCATGTATCAGTATAACACAACAGGTCATTTAAATTTCCGCAAAAGAAAATGATGTAGCCATAAGTACGGTGAACGAGATATAACGTAGCTTAATAACACAACTCTTAGCCTACCCTTGCAAATTCAGGATCTGTATACATCCCTTAAAGATTACTTATATGTAGCTCCAAAATATATTTCCTAGAAATGACTAATATAAGTTATTTCTGTCTCTAGAACAAAATGATTTACTGTAACATGGACAAGTATTATTCCGTTCATCTATATACAAGTAATTTCGAACTTCCGAGTGAAAAAGGAGAACCCTAGGATTCATGTTTTTGATGGCTATGAACGCTATTCCATTTTATGAATTGTTATTAAGATTCATATGTTTTGAAAATCACTAAATAGATGAGTTTAATTTATGTTTGTTGAAGCCTTCGAAATTCCCTGAGAGACCTTAACTTGAAGAAATGGACTACATGTGGTAAATTCGTACGAACCGGTTTGTAGGGAAATAAGAAAACATGCGAGTCACAAGATATGAACACAGTAGCACACCTCTCAATTTGTCTTACTGAATGTTCAATGAACAATACAGGTTCAGATACGGCATTGTGTTGAGCACAGAAGGTTTTAGGCTGTTGTTATTATTTTAATAATTTGCCTTTAAGATACTGTAGTCTCCTCTTAAATCAGTTGGTGGAATTTGATGGAACAACTTTTTTGGGAAACAGGTTCCAAGAGTTAATGAGTGGGTGTGAAAACGTCTCTTCCTTGGGTATTTTGTTCCTCCTCGGCTTTTGTAATCACCTACCATAATCTCTAAGTTTTCTTGATATCGACAGAGGAAGACAGAAAAATAGTAGATATATAATAAGTCTAAAATCATTTTAGAGAACTTCATGCATCAAAATTATATCTCCTCAAAATACGATAGGATAAAGTAAAGAGTCCGGAAATTTGACACCGACAAGTATGAAAAACTTAGGAGCCCTTTAAGCGCCAGAGCAGCTGCCCCCTTTATATCTTCAGAAGTAACCCGACATGCCGCCTAAACACAATTTCCAAGTCCGAATCTGACCGAGATTGTGTTAACTGTCATGGTTATCTTGATATTCAGGTAGGTATTTATGAAGGCCACGGGGTTGTTAACTGCTTGTCTTCACTCACACGACGATGGCTTATCAACATCAAAAAAATAATTTTGAGACCGAACTGCGGACGCTGACTCTTATCCGATGCTGTACCTGATTGTATTTGTATCCTTAATATACATTCGGACAAACTTAGTCAAAATGATTGTTATCAACCATGTTTTATGGGAGCGTTCGAGACATCCTGAAGTGGACTTATGTCCATCTCCTTCGTTATACTTATTTAAAGTTACTCCCCTTGTATGGGCATTGAGCTCGACTACTACAGACACGGAGTTTGAAGGCTCGGTGAAACTTGGAAAGGACAGTATTTAATGCCGAAGCCGCCTTTTGACATTGTTTAGGTGCTCGCTTGTGGAGAGCCAGACCTACAACCCAACAGGGTCGCGACCGGAAGGAAATGTTAGAGAATTCTTCTATCCCAACAAGTGAAAAAGTGCAAGTCTTGTTTTCCATTTGCGATTTATTAAACGACATTAAATGCAGTTTATCAAATGCAGAATTAATATTACCCTAATACATGCTGCGATAATTTATGTGGTTTATATCTCACTACAACGATATATGTCTACACATACAGTTTATAAAGAGAGTTAGATTTCTGATTTCTATTTCCATTTTCTGTTGCTTATGCCGAATTAGTGAATCGACACTAGGAAGTTACTAGCTTATCTTTCAGAATTCGCTACTATTGAATACGATCCACTAGATGCAAAACTGCTAATTACAGGTCAATATTAACATACTAATGGTGGGTCGCCTTATAAACAATATCATCTTTCCATAATCTGAGTCTCACAAAAGCGCATCTGTTCGTTCAACCTTTTTCTTTACTCTTTGGTAAAGAATATTTCTTTTGGCAGTGTATTTTCTGTTTACTAATTATATGGAAATGACTATGGTCTAGCTTAGGGTATTAACTTAATGGACAGTGCACATTAGGTATGAAATTATGTGAGGTCAGTGACCAAATCACTTGGTTAGACTATAAGATACATGTTAGTTCAGTTGCAGTCACGCATTCATAGTTTGACAGTCACTAGTTCAAGTAATACATCCCGTCTTCATTTGACACTTATTGGATTCAATGTATTATTACTTTTCCTTAAATTTTTCTGTACTAGTATGAGTCATATATTAATAACTAATTTCTGCCCTAAAACCTACTCCTAATTTATTACAGTGAGTTTCGTACAAAAGACATCTTGTAAAGCTACTATTCTTCCTATTCAGATGACTAACCCTGATACCTGTTGGAGAACGCAAATCAAGCTCATGAAGATAACTGAGCAGCGCGTAAGTAAACTTCATAGGTTAGCAACATTGCTCATTCAATGCTTACCATTGCACGCCGCATTTGTAGCCCAACCGCAGCTGCTACCATGACGTGGTGGTCGGGCTTGACAATCGTGATGACCCAGCCGAGCTATACTGGCTGGAACATATGTTCCTGAGGGTTCTGGCAGATCATATCAACTAGATCACAAAGCCATCAGCCATCGGTGGAGAAGTTCGATAGAGGACTGTCGCTCGTTCTGGAGCACATGTTTCGATTCAGATCATGCCCTAGTGCGAGCACGTATTTGTTTGAGGCTTACAAGGCGTAGGAAAGAAACCGTAAGGAAGCCTCCAGAAGTTTTACTCAATGATAGCAGAGTAATGAATATATTTCAGGAACAACTAGAAAGACAGTTAGGCGACCATTTAAGCGATTCCCATCCGGAAGCAGGTTGGAATGATATCAAAAAGGCTGTGGAAACAGCAGTGATATCTTCTTTTAAGGTAAACCACAAGGCTAGGATGAAGCTGTGGATTTCAGTCGTATCCACCGAACTGATGGATGCCCGAAAAATCATCCCACCTGGCTCTGAACATGATGAAGAACGAAGTCAACTTAGGCGTAGGCTGACAAAAAACCTGCGCAACGACCGCGAACAGTGGTGGGTGGCGAAAGCACAAGCGATGGAAAAGGCAGCGGCGATCGGCAACAGTAGACATTTTTTCCGACTTATCAAGGAAACTGGTATTAGGAATCCTAGTGTAAGTGAGACTATCTCAGAAAATGACGGGACTATTATTTATTCTCAATCCAGGAGACTGGGTCGATGGGCAGAACACTTTAGGGATCAGTTTAACTTGCCTCGAGCCACTCTTCAGTTACCCACGATCTCCAGTCATCCTGAATGGCAAATCGACCTAAGTCCCCCTAGTCTTAATGAAGTTGAAAAATCGTCAGGAAATCTGGAGCGAGGGCGAGCTGCGGGTCCTGATAGACTGACCCCTGAGATATTTAAGGATGGTGGTCCAGTTTTAGCGGCTAGATTGACTGAGATCTTAGGTAGAATCTGGGAACTGGACGTAATCCCATCCAACTGGTCTCAATCACTGATAGTCACAATCTATAAGAAAGGACAGAAGTCTTCCTGTGACAATCACAGGGGAATAAGTCTAACTAATATAGTATCTAAAATATTGGCCTCAATAATACTTCGACGCTTAACGATAGCTCGTGAAGAGCAGACTAGAGAAAACCAGTCTGGTTTTCGACCTGGACTTAGCTGTATAGACCACATTTTCACACTACGACAGGTCCTGGGATACAGACACACATTTAGACGTCCTACAGTAGTTGTTTTCCTAGACCTAAAAGCGGCATTTGACTCAGTGGATCGTGAGGTTCTGTGTCAGTGTCTGTGATTGAAAGGTGTACCAAAGTAGTACATTAATCTTATACAAGCTCTCTACTCGAACTGTCATTGGAATTCTTTACTTCAAGTGGTGTCCGTCAGGGATGTCCACTTTCTCCATTCTTGTTTAATTTTATCATAGACATGCTCCTAGACATAACATTATCCTCGTCTGAATTTTCAGGAGTAGACCTTTTACCAGGTGGCTCGCTTATTGATTTAGAATATGCTGATGACATTGTCCTACTTGGTGAAGACGCTGACAAAATGCAGAGTCTCCTGACCACCCTAAGCAACAATGCAAGCATGTTCGGGATACGGTTCTCACCCTCGAAATGCAAAATGTTGCTTCAAGACTGGGTTGCATCGGCACCTGAACTAGTGATAAGGAGTGAAGTAGTCGGGCGTGTAGACCGCTTCACTTATGTTGAGAGTCTCATCAGTGTTGATGGCCTGGTGACTGACGAAATCTCGGCACGAATACAGAAGGCTCGATTGGCTTTTGCCAACCTGCGTCACTTATGGCGCAGGCGACATATCCGTTTGCTGACTAAAGGACGAGTGTACTGTGCAGTAGTTCGCCCCGTCTTACTTTATGGCTGTGAAACATGGCCAGTGAGAGTAGAAGATATTCGTCGGTTATTGGTTTTCGATCATAGGTGTCTTCAAAGCATTGCTCGTGTATCATGGGACAGCTGAGTAAGCAATGCTGTCGTTGAGAAACGAGTACTAGGTAACGATGGCAGATCGATAGATGAAGGAAATAGGGATTTGAAAAACTTACACTGAGAACAATAACTAACGAAAATAGTTACGCCTCCTAAAAACATTTAACCGCATATGGACGTATTTATCTTAGGGTTTATGTATGAGTCCAGACGTACTATTGTCACACTGGCTCGTGTTTTCAAGATACCTTTCTATCATTGCATTAAGAAATTCCAACTCTGTGGCAACCGAATTATCTACAACACGATTGAAATCAAATTTAGACCACTAAGCATATGAATGGAAAGTGCTTAACAAGGTAGTTATACCAAAAATGCTGAACGGCAGACCTAGACAATATCCGATAATCTAATATGTTGGCCATTAAGAAGTGCAATCCAAGGAAATGAGAGATTCAAAACCTTTTATGGAATAATCAGGATAAGTGAATACTGTTATTTTAACGCATATTAGTGTGTAATAAAGTAAAGGGGATCTCAGATTGCCACATCTAATTCTACTAAGCAGAGATCACTCAAACAGAACTAGACAACAGTACACGCCACCTAGCAGAATTATATAAAAACTAATTTGTAACAATCATCAATTCAGACGAAATAACTGGAATAATTGCAATAACATGTGAAAAAAAGCAATAACTAATCCTGAACCATCAGAAATCATTTTTCATACATAACTCCTGAAAAATACACACATTATTCATCAGTAATTTTCCGAAACTATGCGTAATCATTCTAAGAGGATCTAATAAATGATTTAATGAATGGAGGACATACAACACAAAATAAAATCGATGAAAATGAAATAGACAAATAAATAAATGGAAAAATTTGCATGTTTTATGTATAAGAGAAGCACAAAAAAAATAATTATGACTGATAACCGGAAAGATATTAACAATGGTATGTTAAAATTTGAAAGTATATATTGTTCAATGGTTATTTGGATGGTGATGACGAACATGACGAAGTATATCCTTTTTAGTTAATATACCAAGAGGACATCTAAAGTGGGGAAGAAAAACAGAAACACACATTCAAAGAAATCAAAGAAATACTAGTAGTAAGAACAAAGATTTTGGTCATGATTTCATCGACCATTAGGAACAACTACTCTATTGCATAAGCTAAAAATACTAATTGTCTTAAGTTAAGCCATTTCTTTATCTTTAACAAAATTGAACTCGGATATATGTCTCAACAACATAGAAGGAGATGCCACTCTCTAAATAAACAAATTTTATCTACTATTAAGGTTTTAATAAATCTATTTACATTTACACTGATGATACAAAAGAGCGTGTTCAATCTTGAGAGTCTCATTAGTCCAGACGGCCTGGTTTCTGACGAAATCACAACACGGATACAGAATGGCTGATTGGCGTTTTCTAACTTACGTTAATTGTAGTATAGGTGAGACATTCGTCTGCTAACCAAAGGACAATTTCACTGTGCAATAATCCTACTACATGGGCGTGAAACATGGCCATCAAGAAGAGAGGTTATTCGTAGATTATTATTATTCAGTCACAGATGTCTTCGAAGCATTGCTCATGTATTCTGAGGACACCGAGGAAATAATTCACGGATTAGGAACACGGTACTAGGTAAGAATGGCAAATCGACGATGAAGTAGTACATGTTTACCAGCTAAGGTGCTTGGAGCATGCGTTACGTATGTCTATCCACCGACTACCTTGACCAGTTTGTGCTGCCTAGTGTACGATTGGGCTGGAATGAAACTAGAGACAGGCAAATGGAACCATGACACCAGTTCATGAAGTCGACGACAATTGGAATAAGTTATGTTTAAAGGTGTAGACTACCTGGTTGGGTTCCGCGAGACAATCGTAACCGGTGGTTAGAGACCTTAAAAGACAGGTCGGTCAGTTACAACGCAGAACTCCGTACGTACGTACATCAGTCCAAGTTGCCATACCACATCAGCATGGCTTAAAATCGTTTGCAATCGAGCAGATACATCTAATCTTTGCCTTTCCCCGCATACTAAGTTTCTGATTCCCTAATGACTTTTCTTTTTCTTGAATTTATTTTACTCCTTTGTAACTCATTGATTCATATTTTCGATCCCTAATATTTTCTATTACAGCTAATACTACTACTACTACTTCTACTACGATGGGGTGTGAACTGACAATTTGATCTCTCCGTACTGATGCACGTACGTACCAAGTTTTAGTTGTCACTGAATGACTGACTGATTGACCATTAGAAACTTATGAAAGTAGGCCAATAGTATTAAATGATCCATCTCTTCTTCACTAAAAAACGAAAAAATTTTCCATTTTATATGGAATCGGTAGTAGACAACTACCATATCAACGTCTGAGAAAACCAACAATCAATATAACGTGGACTAATGAGAACACTCTGTTCAGTAAACTGAGCTTAAATAAATATTCCCATTCTACTATAACACAGATGAAGAATTTTAGTGGAACAAAATACCAAAAATCAAATAGATATAAATAATAGAAACAATAATAAAGATAGACAGCCATTTTTTTAATCTACCATTATTATAGAATAAAATACTTGACAAACATTATGAATTTAGTTATATATAGAAAGAAAAAAAACTCCGCCAGTAGAACCTTAGGGGCTACTGCCGGTCCCAAGCCCGGGTAAAGGAGGAGGGTTGGACATGGGGTTGGCGACCCCATTCCGTCAAAAACTAACTTGCCAAAAAAACGCTAACCAGAAAAAATAATTCAAACCATTTTAACTCTGCCCTGGGAGTTGGAGGAAGAATTATGACGTCGCGTGATGAAAGCCGAGTTCCCTCGGAAGTCACGGGGCTGATGCCTCTTCTCACAACCAGAGCAACCATTTTTTAGGTACATGGAACGTTCGTACATTGTGGGAGACTGGAAGACTATTTCAAGTTGCGGCAGAAATGAAAAGATACAACCTCGAGGTGCTTGGAATCAGTGAAACACATTGGACACAAGTAGGACAACTGAGACTTGCTTCAGGGGAACTGCTGTTATACTCTGGTCATGAAGAGGAAAATGCTTCACATACACAAGGAGTTGCACTGATGCTGTCCAAACATGCACAAAAGGCACTGATAGGATGGGAATCTCATGGACCCAGGATCATCAAAGCATCCTTCAAAACAAAGAAAGAGGTCATTACAATGAACGTCATCCAATGCTGTGTGCCTACCAATGAATACAATGACGATGTTAAAGATCAATTCTACGAAAGGCTGCAATCAATCGTCGAGAAATGTTCACCAAAGGATTTGACGATTCTTATGGGAGACCTGAATGCCAAGGTTGGAATGGACAACACTGGATATGAAGACATCATGGGACGACATGGACTGGGAGAAAGAAACGAAAACGGTGAGAGATTTGCAAACCTATGTGCCTTCAACAAACTGGTCATCGGTGGCACAATATTCCCGCACAAACGCATACACAAAGCTACATGGATTTCACCGGATCACACTACTCAAAACCAGATTGATCATATCTGTATCAACAAAACGTTCAGAAGGACTATGGAGGATGTGAGAACCAGGAGAGGAGCTGATGTAGCCTCAGATCACCATTTGCTAATCGCCAAAATGAAACTGAAACTAAAGAAGCACTGGACAACGGGACAGACAACATCACAAAAGTTTAATACGGCCTTTCTTCGGGATACCGTAAAACTCAACGAATTCAGGATAGCCCTCACCAATAGGTTCCAGGCCTTTCAGGATCTACACAATGGAGAGGACACAACATTGGAGAACAATTGGAAAGGGATTAAGGAGGCAATCACTTCAACATGTCAGGAGGTCCTTGGTCGCAAGAAGCAGCATCATAAGGAATGGATCTCTGTTGATACTCTCGCAAAAATTGAAGAAAGGAGGAACAAGAAAGCAGCAATCAATGTCAGCCGAACAAGAGCGGAGAAAGTTACCGCACAAGCTGCATACACAGAAGCAAACAGGGAAGTGAAGAAGAGCATCAGAGCTGACAAACGAAAATACGTGGAAGATCTAGCAACGACGGCGGAAAAGGCTGCTAGAGACGGAAACTCCGATGCAACACAACATGCACCAATCAAATCAGTCTTGATGGAGATGCCTTGGAGGACGTTAACACCTTTACATATCTGGGCAGCATCATCGACAATCAAGGTGGATCCGATGCAGATGTGAGGGCACGGATTGGCAAATCAAGGGCTGCATTTCTACAGTTTAAAAATATCTGGAACTCCAAACAGATATCAATCAACACCAAAATAAGGATTTTCAATACAAATGTCAAGACAGTTCTAATGTATGGAGCGGAAACATGGAGAACTACCAAAGCCATCATCCAGAAGATACAAGTGTTTATTAACAGCTGTCTACGTAAAATACTTCGTATTCGTTGGCCAGACACCATCAGCAACAACGAACTGTGGGAGAGAACAAGTCAGATTCCAGTGGAGGAGGAAATCAGGAAGAAGCGGTGGAAGTGGATAGGACACACTCTACGAAAAGCACCTAACTGCGTCACGAGACAAGCCCTCACATGGAACCCTCAAGGCAAAAGGAAAAGAGGAAGGCCAAAGAATACATTACGCCGTGAAATAGAGAAAGATATGAGAGGAATGAACAAACATTGGACAGAACTGGAGGAAGAAGCCCAGGACAGAGTTGGTTGGAGAAAACTGGTGGGCGGCCTATGCTCCATTTGGGGTAACAGGCGAAAGTAAGTAAGTAAGTAAGAAAGAAAAAAAGTCAAATTTTTCACTAACCCGTTACGTGTAACAATGATTTGTCGAAGACCTAACTTTTTAAAGAAATCCAAAACTGTTTCCATCGGTGTATGGTCCGATACTGTTGTAGGAGACTAAAATACATGTGTTTTTTTTAAAAAAAAGAGAGAAAGACATTTAAAAATTAGAAATTAAAAAAAGTTTGAGTATAAGTAAATGGTATGCGATTAGAATGAGTCACGAACTTTAAATAATCTATAAATATCAATCGGACCAAAAGTTACGAAAAAAGACAATGAATACACATACGGCTCTCTGATAAACGATTCAACATCACTGAAGCTTTTGTGTAATTTTACACCTATTGGTATTAAGAACAGTGATCATCTTTGCTTAGATTAATTAGTCACTAGCGTTTTTTAGCTGATTCAAGCTTGCAATCATTTCAACATACAACTCTGATTTATCTTACAGTTCTATAAATCTTCTCTGACTTGCTAAGTATACTGGAAAAAATATTGGAAGTATATATGATTGAAATAGGTCTTGTGTGCGAACGCTAAACCTCTGAGCCGGCATCCAAAGGTGTAAATGTCTAACTCTGATCAAACTCACTCAATGTCTTCGGTAGTTACTAACTACATCCAATAGGGTTAAACTTCACTGGTCGTCTTCTCTCTAGAACTCCAAAGATTTTCTCACAAACCTAGAGGTTTAGCGTTCGCGCTCAAGATCACAGGTTTGATTCCTGCGAGTGGCAGAAGCCGTGGATGTGCAACTGTTGATAAGTTCCATAACAGGACAAAAAGGCCATTCATTGCTTTCAGGTTTCTAACGGTTGTCTATAAATGATTGATGCATTATTTCAATAATAAACAACAATCTTCATCACTCCTTAGTTAAAAAGTATAAGCGTATATAGTAAGACCTTGAACATCAAAACAATAGAATTAATTATGAAGATAGTTAAATTGACAAGTGTATAACCAAACGATCACGTATAATTTATAAAACATTGATTGCGAAATATCCACAGTTGATATAAAAAATGTAATGACAATGTTGACAGAAAAGGAAGAGAGAGCTCTTTAATAGGCAAGATTATTTAGATTAACAAATACCAGGATAGACCGTTGAATACAATCCTTTCAATATAATATAACCAAACAATACAGTATGCTAAAGTCACTGTGAAACGCTTTCACTGATCAGTAGAAAATCTATAGACAAATAAAACTATCATAAACTATAGATTTAATAATAACAATAACTATCATGGTAGTAGTATTCATTACACAAGATATTATATATGTATTAGAAAGCTTACCAAATCAACAATATTTTGTAAGTTGACAGGTGTCAATTCATGATGATCATCTGCATATATTTGTTGAAATGCAGCAAAATGAACTGGTGACTCATCGACAATAGTTGGATCATATTTTCTTTCACGATCTGTGTTATCATCGGGATAAAATTTATAAACAAAAATATATATACATAATGAATAGGACTGTTGAGATAAATGAGTGACAAAAAGGCTATCAATTAGAATTAATATTATAGAAATGACTAGACAAAGATATAACCATCCAGAAAAATAACTGATTAATGTTGTTCCTCTTTGAAATTGTATGCAAAACGAAAATTAATAAGAAGATAGATTGACAATAACTGTTTATAACTCGATTTTGATCACTACTCGTTATCCTACAGACTGAGCTATTCGAGATACTCTAAACAAATTGATTTTTCCTAAATAACTATTCACTATAAGTACAACGATTCAACAGGAGTTATTTTAATAGACATTAGTTGGTCGAAGATAGTCAGTAGGGAAAACGTGTGTCAGTTGGCATTCATTAGCAAAGCATAGCAGCAGATTTAAAGGAACTGATGTCGCTGGTGAGATTAGAACAGCTATCTGTAGCGTTACCGCAACTGAGATATCCAGGCCGCAATTGAAATCCCATAGAACTGCGATATTTACGCACTGAACCAGAACAAATCTCACATCTTAACGTTTATACTTGATTTGCTAACATCAAAACGCAGTATATGTGATGTCATGCTATGTTAGCTAGTTAGTATACATTGTAATTTATTCGGGGAAATTTTAGCAAGCACTAAGATAAACATGATATTTTTTGTTACTCAGTGTTCGATCAATATAATCATTTAAGTAAGTAGTTAACTGAATAAGGTCTGATTCGAAGTGTTCACTTTTGAATAAGTGAATCTAAGAAATAAACAAAACTATTGTGATTTACAGGCTGAACTGCTACACACCAAAATAAAAAAAGGCTATAACTTCTGTGTAGTGTTTTTTCTCTAAGCTGGGTTACTTGAATAACTCACTACTCATTACCAAAAATTTGTCTCATGATGCTGCTACTGAGAAGAATCATGTAAGCATCCAGCTCAAAAAAAAAGAAAACTCCATCGAAATCATCTACCTGAGTTATCAATCTCCATCCTCCATCTAGTACAGTCATAATTTATAATAATCAATAATCATCAATTACATAACTGTTTTACGAAAAATTTAAAAAGATGCTTATTTTACTTTGAACGAATAATTGATAATTAGTATCACCAAACGTTATACACCAAAAAAAACACTAGAAAATTTAATTAAATCAATTACATTTTAGGTGGTAATTACTTTGCTGACAAAAATATTCTACGCAGGTATAACAATTATGCTAACGAAGCCAAAAATAATTAAATTTGTCTCATTACACATAAAATAACGTTAACCTATAACACATATACAAATGGATATCAAATAAACACTCTCTACAAGCAAACTCTTTACTTTTGTATACATATACATGACGTAACAATTGAATGTAGCAATGAAACAAAAAAATGTATCAAAGAGCTTTTTTTTTTTTAAAAAAAATAGTAAATAGAAAATATTCAATTTGAGAAGAACTTCTGCTTACCTAAAGCCCAACGTAATTCTCTTCTGGACACCCAACCAACTAGATATGGTGAATCTTGTGAAACAACAACAGGAAATCCTTTAACATCACATCCACTAACTAATTGGTCTAAATCACCAACTGTCATATCATATTGTGTCACAACATACAGAGGAGAATTTGAATCTCTAAAATATGAACAAGAAAAAATATATACATACATGAAAATAGTGGGAAGAGTATAAAACAAAAGAGGCAAGCAAACAAGTCAACAAACTAACATGTTATTTTCAATTAGAGTTATAGAGATTAGTGTTTTTACACATTGAAATCAACAATCAATACATTGTTAGACCATTATTAGGAAGCTGCAAGCACTGGACGGCCCATACCCCAGGATGAAACGACTGTCCAATATGCTTGAATAATTGAATTGATGTTTAATGAAAATACTACTATTAAGATGAATTATAGTCAAACGATATAGATTAACAGATAAGAGGAATATTCAACAATCAACAATCAATGTATTCCATGTATATTTGAGAATTCCATTTCATTTACTTTATTCCGTCTAAACAATCATTGAAATATTTGTAGTTCTCAACAACAACAACAAAAAAAAATTAGTGTTTGCTTTACATTCATATACACAAAAGTGTAATCAATTGTTGTAATTCACAATCTTCATTTTTGATTGACAAGAGTTGAGTGGTATTATTATGCTTAAGAATATCCAGTGAAAGCGTAACACATGTTTATTTTTGAAATGATAAATCTGACTTGTTGATTATAACCAACAATTATCAATAAATCCACTTAAAAAAGGTTTTCTGTGTTTATATTCAACCATCAAATTAGCATACTTGAAATAGTGTTAACACTTTTGTTTTTTTTTAAAAAAACCCACCTTTTTCTATCAACTGGCACAAAAATTAATAGTATCAATAATTTTAATTGTTATATAGTGAAAATTGTTTCATTCAGTGTTTATTCATTTTTCTTTTTTGATATCATGAACTGACTTCAATTTAACATGTAATTTTAGTTAATTTATGTAAATGTCAATTGTATTAGGATTGTAATTGATACCAGCAAGTGACAAATAGATTTTTGCATTACGGGGTTGTGAAGATTGTTAAGTTACACATTTTTGAAACCATGAATCGATCAATGTTAGACCACCATTAGAAACCTGGAAGCACTGGACGGCCGTTTCGTTCTGGTATGGTCTAACATTGATAGATTCATGGTTTCAAAAATGTGTAAATAGATTTTTTTTAAAATGAACGATAATACTCATTAACTATTAAAAAATTACATGGCTTTGATACTTGGGTCAAGTAAAAACTTCAAATTTAATCTTAATAAAAAGAAAGATTATTTGATTAGAATTATATAGAGGAGGAAAAAGTAAGCAATTATTTACATAATTAATAGAGTGAGTAATGATCCAAGTGTCAATAATCGATAATGAACTTTGTTTTTCGAATTGTTAGTGCGATTGTCAATTTATTTTAGTGTATTTTGTTGATGATAATAAACGATAACTGGTGATTTAGTAAATTATTTGTCAATCAAGTGTATTACACAACATAAGTACATCAGTTCAGGTTGCCATACCACGTCAACACAGAGACGTAACTGTCAGTTCAAATCCAGGACAGGTTGATTGGAGAACGATGAGACTAAAAGCAGCTTCTCAAGGTCTGAGGGCGAAGTCGTACTGTTGACTGCAGAGGGGTGTGGCAGCAGTAAGGCAAAGATAAACCCGCTTTGCTCATTAACGTTTCTAAAAGGTTGGAAGCTGGAGTCTGCATCTGTTGCGCGAATGTAGGGGGTGGTGGTGGGGGCGGAGCAGGAGCATTTGTTTGGAAACGAGGACCTAACATTACTATAGGCAAGCTCGAAACTGGTTGCATGCACTGACCGGGAAATACTGTGTTGGCCCCAGGAAGCATAGTCATAGTCAATCTAGGGACCATTAGAGGAGGTGGTTGCATAAAATTCGGAAGCATTGGTTCGCATCATTAATTACTGAATTTAGATATCATATGGACTTATTTTGAGTGTTAGGTAAATCCTTAACTAACTGTCTTCATGTTATTTACTTGCGTCGTTTCATTCACAGTTGCTATTACAGCAATAACCGACTGATCGATTATCTGTTTTGCTGTGAGATATCTAGTTGGGTGTAGATTTTGCTTTGTTTTTTTCTTAATTACCTACAGTTGTACTAAAAATGTCTAGTTCTACTACATGGTTGTAGAGATAGAGTAGTTCTACGCTTACAGCTTAAAGAAAACCTAGAGTTGTTTGTTATGTTAAGCAAGCGTTTAAAACAATGTATAAATCTATAAAGAATTTCAGTTTATACTCCATTCAAATATTTGCACAAAGAAATATTTCAGTATTACAAATAAGTAATATATATATATATATATATTCTATAACTTGTATAAGATAAAAACGTGATTCAAAGCATGAACTTACAGAACTACCTATCGCCTATCATATTACTAATTATAATTAATGTTAATATTAGCATAGATCAGCTGAATTGTATAAAACAATAATGAAATGAAAATCTTTTCAATAGTTTAACAGAGTTCACTTATTTTCTACACTACAAATGATTAATGACTTTATGCAGTGATATTACAGTTTTTTTATTATTTGGCCTTCTAATCAACTCAAAAGAAAGCTAACATTGTATATACATAAGAAATATGTGTAACGTAAAAAAAACACACAGACATTGAAACTAGGTTATATGTTTATGTGCGTTTGGTTTTTTTATTCCCATCTATTTGGTTTCTTTTTTCTTCTAGTAACATCAGTGATGATATTGAGTTATTTTCAAATGTTTTAACTAGTGTAATTTAGTGAAATTAAATTCAATACAAGGTTTTATAGAAGAGGAAAGAAGAGACAAAATGAGACAAATTGATTGAAAACACTGAATGTATGTACATAGTGAAAAGCATCCAAAAAAAATATACATCAAATTATGCATTCAATTCTTATGATGATCAGTAAATCGCATTACCATGCAAAATCATTTGTTGAATAAACCGAGCTATGGTTTTATGGTGTAAGATTAGGTTGGAAGAAAGTTAGGGGCGGCCAGATCAAAACATGGCATAAATCCATGAAGTCACTGACAAGTGGACTGAGTCATGTTGGTAGATGTAGACTACCTGGTTGGGGTCCGTGAGATGAAAGTCACCAATGGTTAGAGACCTTGAACGACATGGCTCAAAATCGTTTGCGATGGCGCAAGTGCATCCATTCGTTGTGTTCTCTCAAATCCTAATCTTCTGGAATCGTCAGCACTTCTACCTTTGTCTTTCTAACCTTATCTCACTGAATTATACTTCTTGAATAATATCTTCAAATCCTAGTCTTCTTCATTACCATTAATAGCTGTACTATCGTTATCACTATGGGATTTGATTTGACATTTGTGTCTCTGTGCTAATGTGGTATGGCAACCTGAACTGATGTACTTACGTACGAAGTTCTACGTTGCAATTGACTTGACTTGACATGTTGAATAAACAATTAACAAACACAAAACTGTCACTTATTCCACATCAATAATAATGTGATTAATAGAGACACGTTAAAATTTTGAAGTATTTTGTCTAATATATGAAATAAAAACTAATATAATCATAGGTCAAAATGATTAGTGAATTTATTAAATAAACAAATAAAAAACTTATCATTGTTGATTGAATCCATTATTTTATTACTGACAACGACAATCTCACTTAAGAAATGAACTAAATAATTCATCGAACAGATGATTAGGTATATATGCTCCTAAATGTAACTTTAATGTTAATGAAACCATCTTCACAGTAGGTGAAAAATGTAGTATATTCATAATCTAATTAATTTATTGATGAAAAGTCACTCAGTCACCTGGGTAAATATTCGTTAAAACTACAATTTGTACGCACAAACTAGTGATGTAATCCAGCAATCCCTCAAAATAGATGAGAAGTATAGAAACTAGAACCTATGGCTTACTGATTGAAAAGCGAAGGTCACTTATTTATATTACTTCATGATGTTTAGTCTGAATATAAGCACACTCACAGGAGCTGCTAACTTGACGTGGTGGACGGACTTGCCTACCGTGATCACCCAAACCAGCCATATTGTTTCTGTCGGTTCTAACATGGCAGACAGGTCAACTGGAGAACGGTAAGACTAATAGGCAGCAATTCAAGGTCTGAGGGTGAAGTCTTACTGCTCACTGTAGAGTGGGTGTGACAGCTGTGAGTGGCCTTAAACAGTTGTCCCTTGAGTTCTGTGGTCACTAAATTAGTCACAATAAAATCTTTCCTACTCCTCCTAATAACTCTCTCATCTTTACGACCAGCCCTTCTTGCATTCCATTATCACCTCACTCCGCTAATGCAAACATTTTGAGTTCATAAAACGTTATTTGCGGTCTCATGAATCCCCGTTTTAAACTACAAGTTGGAGCTTTCAACGTTCGAACCTTGAGTCAAATAGGACAACAAGCTTCCTTAGCTAAGAATCGGGAATCTTTTTCCGTCGATGTAGGCTGCGCATACAAGATCTGCGTGGTGTCATTCACTTGACCTCACCATGTCAAAACAAAGAACCAGCTAGATTTACTCTTTGTCTATCTAGAAGCCCTGCTGCTGCTTTATGGGGTCTCGCTGGTGTAGGTATAGCATTGAGTCCCTGAGCAGAACTAGTTCTTCTAGACTGGATTCCAGTAGATAGTCGCTTGTGCGCTGTCTGACTTAACGAGACAGCAAAAACTCAGAAATATAGGGAAGCTCGCCGTTGCCTCTTCGTCGTACCTGCCTACGCTCCCATTGACTGCAGTTCAGATGACATAAAAGATAAGTTTTAAAGAAACCTCTCTAAACTTCTTCAAAAAGTTAGGCGCTCCATATAGTAATAGTGGTTGGTGACTTCAATGCTCAAGTAGGTAGACTAGGTGAAAAGGAAAGACACCTTGGTAGATCTTATGGTATCACGGCTAATAGAACAGATAATGGCGACCGTCTGTTGCAAATAAGCTCAGATAACAGCCTATTTCTAGCAAATATTAACTTTAAGCATAAGGAAAAACACCTTATGACCTGGCGACCCCCAAAGCCGACCCCACGATGGACCCAACTAGATCACATCGCTATAAGCCATCGGTCGAGAGGCTCTATCGAAGACTGCTGCTTATCCTAAAGCACTTGTTTAGACTTAGACCATGTTCTGGTGCAAGCGCGTATTTGTTTGCGCCTTACTGGACGTAGGAAAAATATCCCAAGGAAACCTCTTAGGACTCTAATTAATGATAATAAAGCTAGGAATATATTTCAGGAACAACTAGAAAAACAGTTAGGCAGCCATGAAGTAAGTGATGTCCACCCCGAGGCAGCTTGGAATGATATCAAAAATGCTGTGGAAACAGAAGTGATATCTGCTAGTAAGATGCACCATAAGGTTAGGAAGAAGCTATGGATCTCAGTAGCATCCGCCGAACTGAAAGAGGCTCGAAAACTCATCCCATCTGACTCTGAACGTGACGAAGAGCGACGTAAGCTTAAGCTCAGGCTGATATGAAGCCTACGCAATGATCGCGATCAGTGATAGGTAGCGAAAGTAAGAGAGATGGGAAAGGAAGCAGTGATAGGTAACAGTAGACAACTATTCAGATTTATCAAGAAGACCAGAACTGATAGGGAAACTATCTAGGAAAAGGATGGGACTATTATTTATTCTCAATCCAGTAGATTGGATCAACTGGCAAAACACTTTTAGTGGCTGCGTTGAATTTGTTTTAGAGCTCACTACTTTAGTAGCTCGTGATCCGGTTTGCACGAACAGTCGAATATGCTAAGGAATAAATCTCCCCTTCACTTTCTGTATATCATATATATATATATATATCGGGGAGGATCCTGACAGGTCGACCCCTGAGATTACTAAGGATGGTGGTACAGTTTTAGCAGTTAGATTGACTGAGATCTAAGGTAGAATTAGGGAATCGTGTGTAATCCCATCCGACTGTTCTCAATCACTGATTGTCTCAGTCTACAAAAAGGATAAAAGTCCTCTTGTGACAATCACAGAGGAATCAGTTCAACTAATATAATATCTTAAATATTGGCCTCAATAATACTCCGACATCGTTATCAAGTCATGATTTAAAACGAATAAGTAAAAAAAGCTATTGACATTCTTTTAAAAAGAGAAAAACTCTATACTCACCTACGTGGATACATTACATCAGCAGCAACTAGTGTATTATCTAATTCATCATACGATCCTAGATATGGATAATCATTTAAACGGATATGCTCTTCGTAAATACTACCATTGGTTAATCTATCACCAGTCCATTTACTAACCATAGCTGCAATCATTAATGGAATAATATAATTCAGTCTAAAAATAGGATTTTTTTTTAGAAAAAAAAAAGAAGAAAAGATACAATTATTATCATAATGAAATATGCAGTAGGCTAATTATGATATAATAAGAAGTAAGATTTTTCAATAATAAAAATGATAATCAGGTAAAATCCAGTCACATTCTTTCGTATGGGGTTATTGAGATTTTGTTACTGCGTCCGAAATGATTAATCAATAATGTGAATACAATACGATAGTGATAATTCTGCAAGGCAACTTAAACAGTCTACGAGTTGACTTTAAACTCATCAAGGCGAACTATGAAAACAGCAGTAGATTTAATATGATACTGAAAAACACACTAACAAGAGAACTAACTCTGTGTTGACATAACATACGATTTATTAAATCGATATGAAATAATCCAAGGTTTCCTAATGTTGATAACTCCCTACTCAAGTAGTTCTCATATTTAACAAAAAAGGATGCAATTCCTCAGATGGTGCATGCCGAAGTAATAAACGATCTATATATCTTGAACGAATTAATTGAAAGTAAATTGAATGTTAGTGCACTATTTCATCATCAAATTCAAAAGTATGGAACTCTGTGATTAGGGAGTCGATAGTTAATTCGCCAGTAAAAGAATCAAACTTAAAAATAAGATTTTCACACTTTAACACTGTGTATTGAGTAAAAAGAATTCATATCTTTCTAAGATTAAATTACTTTTAGGTTTATAAAACTGACAGAAGTTTGGTGATATTAACCTGTGTCTTGTGAATAATCAGTGCGTTTAGCAACAAAGGAAGGCCCTCAAAAATATCGAGAATTCACATACACTCCTACTGAATTCCTATGTCGGTAACATGATCTGGAGATAATGGTGCTAACGGTATTAGACAAAACGCAAAAAAATAGTTGTCGGCTTCAAGCAACTGTCTGTAGAACACTGGTTACACACCGAGGTAGGCAAGATGATCATTGCTAAGCAAGGTTTCCTTCAGATCCTTAAAGAAGAAATATCATTTAACGGTGTGAGTAACCAAAACAGACAACCTGATATATTGTCAGATAGTCACCTATACAATCATTTATAATCTCAGTAAAATTTGAGAATTAAAAAAATTCATATTTATTAAAGAAATAACTTTGTTCAAATTCTTTGTATTTTGAAAAATTGTAAATGCAGTTCAGCTGAATCGCTGCAAGACCTGTAAGTCTGAATTTCGATGTTTGAAATACAGAATTGACCCAAATTTATACCTCACGTCAATTTATTTATATGGGTATTTTCTTTTAACATTAAAAATATTGCTCTATATTGTAGCTGCTACACTCATATGATAGTTAGACTTGCATATCCTGATGATCAAATCGAGTTTTCTTGGTTGAAGCACTGGTTCTTTTAGGTTCTAACATACCAAGTAGGTCAATTAAAAAACGATGACACTAAAAGTAAGTAACTTAAGGTCCAGCGACGAAGTCGAATTGTTTACTGAAATAGTTTAATAACAGTGAATTTTTTTCCCTCGAGCAACTAGCATCTGCGGTGATACTTCCTTTTCACAACAGTAGGAGAGGCCTCATGGATTTTCAATGCAGGAATTTATACCTTTAAAGTATGGAACTAACATATTGTGAACTATTTACAGAAATGTTGTGCGTGTGACATGTTGTGCCTTGAGCAGTCATGCTCTTTGGTTGTTACAATCACTACTCATGCAGTTTCCATTTCATATATTCCAAGAAAAAGTATCTTAACAAAGTGTGGGCAACAGGGAAGTTGCAGTCATACACACAACTCTAACTGAACTACAGATCACCATGTTCACAAATAAATCCCTTCATCACTTCTGAATGTTTCTTTCATCTACAACACTGAATCTTCTTCTATGGCTCCATCTTTATACCCACACACATATCAAGTATGGGGTAAAGACCCCAGTGCAAAAAGTGTTATTGCTGGCCTACGAAAACAATTACTCTAAAACTACATGTTAAATTACTAAAATGTTAGAACCTTCAGTTAAATTAAAGAACAACAAGCAAACTAAAACATATACCTGCCAAGAATCAACCCTATATGATAATGATCGCAAAATAATACAACTGACATGAAACATCAATATACACGTCTGAGAAATGTGTTGTGTTAAAAAATAACCTAGTGGTCGCTATACAATGTGTATGTACAAAATACCTATAATACCTATAATAATTATATATTTAACGTGTAATAAATATATATCAATATGCGAAAAACACGTTCAAACATACAACACATCAAAATCATTAATTCAAAATAACAATCGATCCTACTAGTGTAGTTGTTAAGATAAAAATAAGAACATAGACATTCAAATGTAATGTATTCTACGTATTTCATTGGTGAATTAAATAAAGTGAAACATAAATTGCATGTGATAAAAAATGACGACTGAAATACTGAATTTATTATTCTAATAGTGAAGAATAAAAAAAAATTATGAGATGTAACATGTTATTTCTAATCATGTATGTAGATTAATCAACTATAATTGAGATACAAATTGATACAAAATAGAATAAAAACTGATTAAACTGGCTGATTAAATTCTACCACTAATTTCATCCAATGGTACACTATTGAAAGCAATAAAAATTTCGAAATTTACCTACCTAGTTCAAAGTAATGAATAGGAAGGGCTTGAATTTAAGTTTCACACTGGTCGTTGTGTGTGGACATCTCAACAACGTAACATTGACAATCATAAAGAGAAGCGATGCTTTATGTTAAACTATTTGTTGTTTATTATCTCAAGTGATTGTGAATTTTAATAAAATACCACAATAAGTTAAACATTGAAACGCAAGATATTCTTAATCAGTTATTATTTTACAGAAAATACTACGTCACCTATCTTGAGAATCTCATCAGTGCCGATGGCCTGGTGACTGACGAAATCTCAGCTCGGATACAGAAGGCTCGATTGGCTTTTGCCAACCTGCGTCACTTATGGCGTAGGCGTGATATCCGTTCTCTAATCAAAGGACGAGTGTACTGTGCAGCAGTTCACTCCGTTCTCCTATATGGCTGTGAAACATGGCCAATGAGAGTAGAAGATATTCGTAGGTTACTGGTTTTCGATCATAGGAGTCTTCGAAGCATTGCTCGTATACCGTGGGACAACCGAGTGAGCAATGCTGTCGTTAGGAAACGAGTACTAGGTAAGGATGGCAGATCAATCGATGAAGTGGTGAAACTTCATCAGTTGAGGTGGTTGGGACACGTGTTGCGTATGCCTAACCACCGACTGCCTCGTCGAGCTTTGTTTTGTAGTATAGGAGTAGGTTGGAAGAAAGTTAGGGGCGGCCAGACCAAAACATGGCAGAAATCCATGAAGTCATTGACTAGTGGACTGAGCCATGTCGGTAATTGTCGACTACCTGGTTGGGGTCCGCGAGATGATAATAATCGATGGTTAGAGACTTTGAATGACATGGCTCAAAATCGTTCGCAATGGCGCCGGTGCATTTAATCTTTGTGTTCTCTCAAATCCTAATCTTCTGGATTCTTCAACACCTCTAGTTTCGACTCTCTAAACTTTTCTCACTGAATCATACTTCTTGAATAGTATCTTCTAACCCTAACCTCTCCGATTACTTCTAATTCCCTTACTACCTCTTCTACTATTGGATTTGAATTGAAAATTATATCTCTGTGCTGATATGGTATGGCGAAATGAACTGATGTACTTACGTACGAAGTTCTACGTTACATCTGACTGACTGACTGAAAATACTACGAATAAATTGAAATCTAACAGGACAGATGTTCATGGAGTTAGCTTAATTTGAAGTTTGCTGACAGTACAAGCTAAAATCATTTGAAAATTATACAACAATCAACAACCGGTTTATTCTAGTTTGAAACACCTGTGACAACACATCAACGGACTAAACCCACGTAACATAGTACTGGAGATGATAGCAACATGTCATAACTTCCCCCAAATGCTGCATTTACTGTTGCTATTCGTGTAGCTGTTTCCTACAACAGCAAATCAACTGCTACATGCTACTTATTTCAATGAAACAAGACTTTTATGTCGCTTATATCACTTTAAAAGTTCAATCAATCGGTGATTTGAATGTATTGAACAAGTAGTAGTTGATAATAAGTAACCAATAATTTAATATGTGTTTATAATTTACAAAATCAATAAGTTAACAGTTTCAGTTAATAGATGAAACTCACTATTAAATTAAATATTTTTTTTTTTTCTCTTAACACAACAGAATCTGATCTTCTCACGTTTTATTGATATCGAGGAAAGTTTTCCGTCGGACTAGTGTTCGTCAGAGAATCTATAAATCATAAGTTCTATGTCCCACTTGCAATTAGACTATGAGAGCGTTACTATTAAGAAATGAGCTGTGATAAAACTTTTATCTAATGCCTATTCAATGATTCTTTGAATAACATCAGTTTACAATGATAACAACTTTTTAAATTAAAGACAGACTTAGCATAATTAGTTATGAAGAAAAAACTAGTATTTAAATAATAACAGAGAAGTCAATTTATTTCTTAGCCATATTAGACTGAACTAGATACTGTTTGACTTCACGTAGGAATTCTGACCTTCGTCTCAATGAGATACATTATTATGATGACAATCATAAATATCATCCTGAACATAAGATCAAGAGTTCGCATTGTTGTATATCCCCCAAATCAATATTATGTACAATTGTAGAGTGTTACTGGCTTTTAATAATTTTCTTATCGAAATTATACACGAGAATATATGTTCAAATCCTCACAAAACTGACTACTTTCTTCTCCTAAATAATTATAGTAGTGAATTGGTAAAAACATTACAACAATTAGGGAATGCCATACGGAACGACGCAATAGTTCAACTAGATCGTTATAATTCATAAGATTATGTCATGAGTATGTGATTTAATGATTAGTTATATTTCAAATGTGAAACAGTCGATTTATGGATTTTGTAAATTGTATACACAGAGTGAATTATTGATTGCGAAATATCAACTACTCCCAGTTCGATACGAATGATTGAATATTTAGAAATGACACACACATACACACATGTCATATTGAAAACAGTTATAAATCAATGGTTAATGTATGTATAGTAGTAAACCCTTTCATCTTCAATCTGACTGTTTTTTTATCAAGTCCAGTATATTTTATCCATCATCAATCCATGATAACAAACAACAAGTGTAAGTATTATCAACATTTCAACACATAAAAATAGATAACATGTTTATTAATTTAATAGAATCACAAAACTATTAAACACAATAATGATAAATTACCCGCCAGTTAATTCAAGCATAACTACAACTAATGATATAGTCATTCTAGTTACACCGCCAAGAGTAGCTGCAGCACCAACCATAGCATAAAGTCCTGGATTAATACATGGTTGAGATGATTTACACATTTTCACAATAAATGGATGTGATGCATGCGCTACAACCAGTTGTTCAGTAGCTATACCTAACATTCGACCCATAATAGCACCAGCCTGAATATATATAAAAGTAGAAATAAGGTAACAAAAAAAAACAACAATAAAGAGAAGAAAAAGTAATCGAACACAATTCATAGATGATATACGATATGAAAATATATAATGATATAGGAACCAGGTACGGAAACACACAATGATATTTTTCAGGCTTTTAGCAATTAGCACTCTTTGTTCAATTAGAGTCATGGAGATTAGTGTTTTTTAGACATTGAAATCATCAATCAATCATTGTTAGGTAGCTATTTCGAAACCTGGAAGCACTGGACGGCGGTTTCGTCCTGGTATGGGACTCATCAGCTGTGCGCATCCACGACTCCTGCACCTCGCAGGATTCGAACCAAGGACCTTCGGTCTTGCACACGAACGCCTAACCTCTGGACCACTGAGCCAGTATCTAACGGTGTTAATATCTAACTTTGATCAATCTACAGATTTCGCGCGACCTCACTCGTTACTGCTTACACCTGATAGGATTGAACTCCACTAGTCACGTCTTCTCACTAGAACTCCAAGAATTTCCTCACGAAGTTAGTCATTAGTTAGAAGGTGTACGAATCGTGGATACGCACTGCTGATGAGTCCTAAATGAGGAAAAAACGGCCGTGCAGAGCTCCCAGGTTTCTAATGGTGGTCTAACAATGATTGATTGATGATCTCAATCTGCAATTAGCACTCTATATACTAAACAAAAAATTCGCATATAAAATCAACGGATTGTTCAAACTAACAGATTTTAATATCAGTGACTAACTTAAAAAAACCAATATTATTGTAAATGATAAGAAAAAATTATGATAAAACTCTTAAAATAGAAATGTACCACTAAGAAGCGTAGTTAAAACGCTTATTGAAACATATGGTCATTCTTGTTTTCTATCTCCTTTTCTCTTAGTTAAAAAATAATTGTCTTATGTAGGTGGATCAGTTATTTATGAAATAATTCTATGCATTTATCAAAGCACTTTATTAAATCAATTACAGTATGTATGTAATAACTCAGGTTACTATAGATATGCTTTAAATTATACTATCTAACAAAATATTTAACTCATACATGATTGAACTATCAAACGTAGAGAATAGAGCATTATTGATAAAAAAAGAGAGACAATAATAATGTTAAATATCCTTAAAAGAAATAAGTTTATATTTGTGGAGAAAGTAGTATATACATTACAGAGAGATAGTCCAGTTAAGCAATAAAGGCGAAATCACGTAATCTAGTTTGTTTGTTTTTTTTTAAAAATAATAATCTCAATAAAATCTTTCAAATCGATATTCCTGTAATGATGACCTCTGCTATTATTTGATTGGAGGTTATAATTTTTTTGTTTTCTAATTTTGTTCTGTCCATAGAGTACATTGTAATTTTTCCATTTCTGTTAAGAATAATGTAAAGCTATGCTGAAAGTGTCATCTTCTCTAGCGTTATATAAACGTGTGGATTATTAACATCGAAGTGATGTTGTATATTGATCAGTTGGTAGTATTCTATCGAGTTCAACAAAGAGTACGTTCATAAGAGAATAAGTTCAATGATTCAGCAATTATTGTGAGCCTTAATCGATTTCAATACTTATAATATAATATTTACACAAATTAAACTTGGAATAGAGTTTATTATATATTTTGGGATTTAATAGTTTACATATAGGACAGTGGTAATTTACAAGTCAATTAGTAGGTCATTTAAACAATTATCTCATCCTCAATTATGGAAATTATTTTAAGATTTATTAATTTAACTTGTAAATGTTAGAAAAAAAACAGACGACCAAACGTACCGCTAACGATGGAATAAACAAACCAGTCGGTACTTTGATACCAAATGTGAAAACAGTGAGAATAAGTTTTAAAATCAATGCAATTGCCAATAATACCATTGCTGTGGATAATGATGATCCAGCAGGATAATTCTGATAAACTTTAGTCATTGGATCACTTGTATTATAATGATAATCACTGTGGAGAGAGAGAGAGAGGGACAGAAAAACACGAAACAGAAAAGTGAACGGAAACAAGACAAACAATAAGAGATGGATATCATAAAAGAGAATTTTTAATTACCTCATGATAAAAAACATCATTATTTATTGAAAAATAAATGAAAAATGATTCTGTTGCAGATTAATATGACAGATTAGTTAGTCATAATGTGACTAATTTACCAGGTACATTTTCATACACTCAATTAGGAGACAACAATGTGCGATAGCTGTTACAATCCGTATAGGAACTGGGACTAGAATATTTTGTCACAATGAAATAATTTAACAAAAGAAGTTCAACAATAGTAGGAAAGACTAAACAAAGTTTATGGTTTGACACGAAATAGAGAAACAGTATGCATGAAATAATATTCAAACTGAAGATATGTACAAGGAAATAAAAGATAATGAATGCACCTGTGTCATAGAAACCGGAGAGAAGTCACATAAGATCTTCAGTGAATGGTTACGATTTCTGCGCGGACCGTAACTGAGTAGTCTGCAGGTAGAAATACTACTCAGATCCACAACTAATGTCGTCATAGTTTGATGACACGTCAAAGTTTCGCCACACCTAAATATTCTTCGATCTACTTCCATACAGGCCAGAATCATTGGGTGGAGTGTGCAGTATATTTGCGATACATGGACATCTTGTTTGCAGTATAAGAGGAGTAAGCATTTTCAAGATAACTGAGTTGGCGAAAATCCCTATTTACGCTAGCCTCTTGGGTCATAGTATACACTGATATCTTTTCATTTAAACCGTGGGTACTTCACGAGTATAATAGGGAATTTGTATTTTTTATTAAAAATGATGGTAACTGTTTTCGTAACCATTTGATATTATGAATTGTACAGAGGTGTAATAGACCACGCAATAACGTATTACTATTTACTATATATGAAGAGAGTGAAATCATGCTGATGATAATGACCAGCGTAGTTCTTGGAAGTTGAACTAATATAAATCTTTCAATCCTTAAAAACAAATAATGTTGTTTGATAAAAAAAAATATCTACTCCATTTATGCTTTGGCTTTTGTAATATATATATATGTTTAGTAAGAAAATATAAGCACAGGTGCTTTCTACAATTATAAAGTTCGATTAACACACATCAGCTTGTATAACTTAGAACAAATCCCACCCTCGGAAAAACTCGATTGTAAATTATCTTGTTTGCTCTTATTTAAGAAAAGATTTACAATTGGACTAACTGTATGAGGAAAAAACAGAAAGCTTCCTAAAACTATTTGCAAGACGAATATTGTAAACACGTTCTATCGAATTGTAAAAAGTACTCTTTGAGTTCAAGGTGATAATTACTTTATTTAATTTGATCGATTGTTACCAGTTTTCCCATAATCATTAGGTTGGGAAAGCTAGCATAAGTAAAACGGTTATTTGTTTACAAAAATAATTTTGACATTAAATTTCCTGAACTATATTTTATTCTCATGCTAAGTTAAAGTTTAAAAGCTTCTAATTATGAAAGTGGGAAGTCAACAAATCAATGATATATATATATATATATATATATATGCGGGTATGCACAGCTGAAGAGTTTCAAAGGAGATGAAACGAGCGTCCTGGATTCTCCTTCTAGTTACAAATCCTCTAATCTACATAAAAACATAAAACACTACTATCCACAATTATTCTCTATATTCTAGAAGGTTTACCTGGAGCATTATACAAAGCCTGATGGTCTGGATTTCTCTATTGGAACAGTTCATGGACATCATCATATTCAAGAAGTCTTCCAAAATAACAAAACCAAACAACACAATAAACACCATCTGTGTAAACTACTCATAAAATCTTAGAATTCTGACTTATATATATCAATCAGAAAATATGTTTCTGCATAATTATTATTACTCACTTAAACTTCAATGAAAACTAAAACACCCTTTATCATATAGTTGAATAGCTCTCGTTAACAACATCTATTGGTGGTTACATAGAGCAGCTAGTCAAATTGGTTGAACCATTCTGAGTTGTTTTAGTTGTTACTTTTTAAGTAAAATCCAACAATACTATTAAGATGATAAAGATTTCTCACCTTATGTGAATGATTTTAGTGATGTTTAGTTTTCTAAGCTGGATAGATTGAATCGTTAAGCGCCTGTTGTCATTCTAGACAGCATGATCAGCACTAGTTTTATGCATACATTAGTGTTGATTATACTGTCTAGAATGACAATAGATGCTTAACAATTAAATGATTCATTTCTGAGAGCCATAATCCACTAAATTCAACAATATCATAAAATTAATTATACATAACCAATATGTATCATAACAATAGACACTAATGTAATTTTTTATTCTTACCAGAGAGAGAAATCAGATCCTGGTGAACATCGACTAACTAAAAGTTTAATTAGTTCACTAGTATTCATACGAAGATAAGTATGTGGAAATGATAGGACAGCGGTAATTAATGTAACAACTAGTACTTCACGAACAGGATATTTACCTAACCAGGTAGTTTTACGTAAACGACATACGTAGAGATTTGCTCGATTGAATATTGTACCAAAAATACCCTGTGATATAAGTGGGAAATTTTAACAAAACTTAGAAGCAATAATAATTGAAAAAATTTGTTTCAGAAAAGTTGAAAAACAGACTAATTAGTTTTAAAATGAGATACGTTGACCTAAACAAGTAATAATATCACTGTGTGTCTGATAAACGTTCACATTGCAGTAGACTAAATGTTGCAGTGAAATATATGAAAACTAACTCTACCTGTGTGTTTAAGAGGAAACGAATGCAGTAATAAATTCTACAACTCATAACAATGAGATGATGTAGAAAACTGGAGATTTTAGTGTACGGTGCCACTCTTAACCACTATCTATTTAATAACACCGTGCTTACCACACGGTTTTCGAAGTTGTGATTGCCGAGTATTAATCAGAGTTACCAAACAGTTGCTCTGTAAAGGCTATCCTGCTTATTTTAGCATCAACAAGGTCGCCCTTGTCATTCAAGTGTATTTGATAAAGCTAATGGCGCCGATTGAATATCTAGAAGAAAACTCAGTGGTTTGAGGATGAATGCATTCACCATGAAGTCCGAAGGTCCTGGGTTCAATTCCTAGTGAGGTCGTCGATAAGAGATGATGAGGAATTGAATATCGGGACAGCGGCAATTCTTTTCCGGTTAAAACCAGTCCGCAATGCATATTACTAATCATACATGCACAAAATTTTGAGGCTATTCATGTCTATTAAGGTATTTGAACAGAAGGAGTGGTTATCTGGATGGTCGATAGTGATTTGGTTATTGCCGAGTGGGACAATGAGAACTATATTCTGCAGCTCTGAACAAATGGTGATATATTAGTGCTAATGTCACCTCCTGACACGATAACTAATGATCAAACACTTGATAACCCATCTCTTCATGATTTATTAAGATATTGATATTGATAGTGAGATTTAAAAAGCATGTGTTTAGCGTAACAGAAGTTTACGAAGTTATCATGAGTATGTGTGCTACATCCCGACCTGATAATCCGAAGAAGTAGTCAGGCTTGCACATTATAATGATCCAATCAAACAAGATAGACTCGAACACCAATTTTTCTAGGTCCTACTATGCCAGACAGGTCGGTGTGTACCAAAGTACCAAACTCATGATCCGAATATAAATTCATACTGCTGACTGTGAAGTGTTTACCTATGATAACCACCATTTGAAGTGGTGCTACTCTATCACATCTCACGTTACCCCCCCCCTGGAATTCTATATCCAAAGGTAAGGACTTTTCAAAAATGGAGCAGAAATATCCAAACTTTCCAAAAATTCCACGAGAATAATCTGAAGCAGTTATATCCTCGGTTCTGCAGTCACATCCCGAGGTCCAAAACACAACTGCTAGTCCTGTTCCCTTTACAGGTTAATTCAGAAAGAAATACCTAATCACAGTTAGAGCAACCGAGTTGTAACTACCGACCGCACACACCTAAAAGAACGTGAAATTAACTCATTCGTGATCGAACCCCTTCATCACCACTGAATTACTTCTACTCTTATTTGTTACATCTAATAAATCGAACACATAATAAACTAGGTCAACCCTAAGGTTAGCTGTCGAATGATTAGAAAATGTAAACAATGATTGTCTAGATTTACAACATATCATGTAAAATAAAGACTAAATGAGTTTTTAGCTTTGACAAATATCCCAGATTTCTGCAATAAGACATACGTTTTGAGATTTGTTAGTCCATCCTGGCAAGTAAAAGTCTCTGAAGTAGGCAAACAATCTCCCAAAACACATAGAATATTTCTCAAACAACACTAAATTCAAGGTAAGAATAGGCAAAACTATTCAATTCAATATTCATTTTATTCCGTGTTCTACATAAAAACTAAAAAATTTACCACTTCATTAAATCGATCTAACTATAATCATGTATAAACACTAAAATATAAATTGATTATGTGTAAAAGTACACTAAAACTACATTATAACTTACTCCAAGTAATCCAAGCAAAGCGAATGGAATCAATTCCATCACATGCCATTGTGCTTGATAGTCAACATAAAACATAATCATATTATCACTACCATATGGATTGAGGATACGCAAAACATTCGCTGACACCATAGCACAGAAAAATGATCGAAACATTGTTTTCATTGGGAAATAATAACTAGCTTCTTCAAGTGAAAAGAGAACACCACCTATGGGTGCACCGAATGCCACAGCTACTCCAGCAGCTGCAGAAGCTGAAAGAATCTAATAACCAGAAATGAAAATAATAAATGGAAATCAACAAAACATAATATGGTGTTAAGGAATTAATCGATTTACAAAGAAAAAAAGGTAAATAATCATACTTATCATGAAGTGATATGTATTGAAGGAAAACTGTAAATTATAAAATTAACGTTGAAGAACGATCAATAACCATGCTTCTTTTTTGGGAGATGAAGACTACTGGGTTAGGGTCTGCGTGAAATAACTTAAGAAAGGGAAAGATAGAGATGATGAAAAGTTCAGAAGATTAGAATTTGGGAGAACGCAAAGAATGGATGCACCTGCATCATTAAAACGATTTAGGGCCATGTCATTCAAGGTCTCTAACCATCGGTTACTATAGTCTCGCGGACATCAATCTGGCAGTCTACACTTAACCAACATGGTTCAGTCCACTTGTCAGTGGCTTCATGGATTGGCAACATGTTTTGATTTGGCCGCCACTAGCTTTCTTCCAACCTATCACTACACCACAAAACATAGCCCCTCATTTTAAATTTTTAGGGCTTCGGCATGGTGTTAGTGCAATTCGAAATGATAATTCGATCTATGAAGAAGTAAAAAGACTTTGGCTGTTGAGAAGTTATAAATCAAAATGAAACCGAAAATCCAATGATTCCCCACTTTCAATGACTGCCTAGATTACGTCTGCTGGCAAGAGAAAAATCACCTTTCAAGTATGCGAAATCACTCTACAAAAACCACTTAATAGAGATTGAAAATAATTATTGATGCGAGGCAGTCGGTAGTTAGACATACGTTACACTTGTCCCGACCACCTCGTGAGTAGTAAAGGTAGTAATTATATTATTGGTAACAAAACAGTCCTAAAAGTCCCATATATACTATCTTCTAGTGCCAGGTCAATTATAAAAGTCAAGGTATTTCGTGCATCAAGGGTAACACCATAAAGTTGGCATTATAATAAATTTCAATTCAGGATTACCATCCTTTCTCAATCCAAAATAATTGTATTAATTTCTATAAAAGCGTAAGATAATCGAGGATCAATTGACTAATTAAATAGCAGAGTTAACAAAATAATGACTCTCTGATCACTCAGCTTCAAAGGGTAAATTGTATAATGTCGATTACTATCACGTGACAGACTGATAAGTACTAAGAAAATTTAACAGAAAGTGAGTTTTGGAGTGAATAGCTCTCAATAAATGACTACATCTACCAACCAGACGATATGATTTTGGATCTTTAAGTAACAGTTAGATAATGATGAGTGTTAGCAAGCTTGAAACCTAGGCTAAGAACTTATCTTGATTGCAGATAAGTGTCTAACACACACCAGACTACCCTCGCCGATTTCATCTTGAAAACTAACACTTACCTCACGTTTCTTAGCTTCATTTTGACCATACTTTGGAAAGAAATGAGCGAATATATTTCCAACACACGCAGCCATATGAACCATAGGTCCTTCTTTACCAAGATTTAAACCAGCACCTACTCCAAGTATCATGCCAATTGATTTTATCAGAAGAGTCCATTTCCCCAAGTAACCGCGTATAATGAATCCACCAAGGATAGTCTTAATTTCAGGAATACCGCTACCTAAAGTCGATATACAAAAACAAATGAATAGTAAAACGAAGTAGCAGATTTATAATTAAATATCAAAACATAATACTCAATATACATATTTAAGATAAATAGTTGGTCTAGACAACCCAGTTCATAAATAAAATGAAATACGATAAATTAAAACAATGTTTGGATATACTGTTGGTGACATAAATAACAGTCTTAGTAAATGGTACCAATATATTAGTATAAATATATTTTTTATCCAACCTCTCAAAACTTATAGTTTCTACAATCTTTAAAAACATTTCTGATAATATTACAGGTAAAATTGTTAGTGTATGATTTAAGAATAAAGTAAATGTACATTTTTCTAACCATTTTAACACAACAAAGTGCATAGGCTTCTCTGAGTGTTCCCACTTCATAACGAAACGAACAAGAATAATCTATAATCTAGAACACAAGTATCACTTACTTACCTACTTATGCCTATTACCCTTAAGTAATTATTGTTAATTTTCGCTTTTCAGAATGATATCCTCTTGATCAATGAATGTATTTTCCAGATAATTTGCTAATAACTAAAGTGTTATACAACAAGAATATTCGTTTTAACCTAACTTATTGTAATATATTTAAAAAAACGCTTCAGTATATTACATCCATATGTAGGTATATCGTATGAAATATACGATATATTGTTTAACATAGAACAATATACGATTATTTACAAATATTCGACATTCAGAAAAAATATTATCACCAACATGACATAGATTTTCACATTCTAACCGATATGAAAGAAGGAGAACAGTAACACAGGCTAGAATCATTATATATTCAATTATGAAACAATTTGTTTTTATTTATCCAAGTAAAAAAAATTTGCATTCCAATTAATTAATTCTTCAATTCTGTGATAAGATATCAATAAATATATGTGTATTATACAGCATTAACTAATATACTGTTATGCTAGTCACTAGTTTATATGCTTGAAACTATTACGAATTCACCGTTTGTCGGTAAACGAGACCGAAGACAAATGATCCAGTGATACGATAGGTTACTCTAATCCGAGAGTCCCAAGGCCCCACTAAGTAGATGAAGATGTCTTGACATGGCGTAGAAAGTGTATTCTACAAGCACCCAGATGTCCACAAGCACACAAACCGAGTTTATTTATACATGACAGAAACGTCCTTGGGAGAGCCACAAAAATAGCGCACTAATACAACACATCAACCAATAACACCCAAGGATTTGCCGGGTGGGGAATGTAATCTCAAAGTCAACTGATCGGCCTATGTGTGAAACCACAAAATCCAAATTTAGGACCTTAATTAAGTGAGTTCTGGGGCCTAACATCTCCAAAATATTCATAATGAGTATTCAATCAGTACATACTGATAAAACATATAATGAAAATTAGAAACTGTATTCAGGTTTATACATTGTACAACCATAACAACATAGTAATAACAATAATAATGATAATAATCAGAGTAATAACGAAAATTAAAACACAATACACACCAGATAACGATAATAACAAAAATAATTTAAATTTACACTTTCCGAAAGGATGTAATTTCTAGGTTATTTCAAAATGAACATCTTAAATAATATTGATAATAATGTAAGCGAATTAAGCAGAATGGAGAAACTAAAATTGACATGATATTACATTTTAAAGTATTAGTGATTGTATACATTAAATAAGAATAACACAGATCCAATAACCATAGAGTTGTTTCATTTTGTAGTATTCACATTTAAACTCATACTTTCTCAAATGTTGAGAGCTACACAGTCAATTATCTAAAGCACACATAGAATACATACTAATCAGTCACTTAGTTACAAAGTAGAAATTGATACGATGCGTGCATCCATTCAGGTTGCTATACCAGATTAGCACAGAGAGGCAACTGTAAGTTCAAATTCCATAATGGTAGAGATAGTAGAAGTAATAGCGATAATGGAGAAGATTAGGGTTCGACGAATTACTCAAGACATATAATTCAGCGAGATAACTTTAGAAAGAGAAAAAGATAGAGGTGATGAAGGATTCAGATTAGAATTTGAGAAAAGACAAATCGTGGATGCACCTGCGCAATTACAAACGATTTTGACCTCATGGATTTGTGCCATGTTTTAGTTTGGCAGCCTCCAGCTTTCTCCCAACCTACTCCTACACCACAAAACATTGCTCGTCGAAGCGGTTGGTGGTTGGACATTCGTAACATATGTCCTAAGCACCTCGATTGATGAAGTTTCAATATTTCATCTATTGATCTACCATCCTTACCTAATACTCACTTGCTAACTATAGAATTGCTGGCTCAGTTTTCCCAGGATATACGAGCAATGCTTCGAAGAAATATATAATCGAATACTAATAACCTACGAATGTCTTCTACTCTTACCGACCATGTTTCGCATCCATATAGGAGAAATGGAGCGAACTTCTGCGCAATACACTCATCCTTTGTTTAGCAAACAAATATCTCGCCTACGCCATAAGTGACACAGGTTGGCAAAAGTCAATCGAGCTTTTTTTAATGTTCTACATACATCTCTAATCAAATTGCATCAAACTACTGCTGGCTATAAAAATACAAACAGAAACATCATCGTCATAAATATGTCACTACTGTGAAAACAATTAAACACACACACACACACACACAACTTCCATATTATTAAATGTAGGTTTTTTACAAAGAAGCTTAGCTTATTTTCTTATTGTATAAAAGTAATTACTGGACGAATTAACTTCTTAATAAGAAGGGCACAAAACAACGTATCTGATGTAAACAATACAAGAGAGAACACAAAATCTGTTTACATGTGTAAAGAAATTTAAATAATTAGAAAAGGTTATTATCCAAAATTACCATATACACACACTGAATAGTTTCTATTTCTATTAGTAAATGATTGGTCAATGTATTATAGTAGTAGTGTGATTAGTCAATAAATGAAGAAAAAATGTATTATGTTGTACTAAATATAAGAAACTATCCTGTACAACTGTACAACATTGCACTTGTACTCTAATTCGGTTCCATCTAATGATCTAACTTGTTTCACTATCTTCAGTCGGATAACTGAGTTAAATGCATCACATGGACAAGTACCTGGTTCAAGCGCCTAGTTAATTAAACTAGTGTCCAGCGTATAATGCCTTTACACTATATTAATACTACAACGCTGTTATGACTGCGGAAAAATTTTAACTTTCCACTTGTTACAATAGAGCAAAAACGTATCAAACAGATATAAATACGCATGTACAGCTTAAGTAAATGATTTAGTCAAAAAGAAAATTTTCTTCCCTGAATTCTCGTCATTTTTAACCACATCAATTAAAAAAGTTAATGGGCTTGGAGAAAAATCGAGCTACAGAACATATGTTACTTAATGGTGAAATTGTGTGTGCGTGTGTATAGAAAATATTCAGGGCAAGTTTCTTGCACTCTTGCACTTGTTTAATTCTAAACGAGGTATATTGAAAATTTAGTGATTTAAATCGTTATCAGTGAATCAATAATATCCTGATTATGAATTACTGGTTTTTTTACCAGTTATTCAAATAAAATTAGATCGAAATAAAAATATTTATTATGCAACATCCTGTTAAAGATGGTTAAGATAAACTGTGACATTTTAAAATATACCACAGTGACTTGATTTTGAAAAATGACTTATAAGTAGTATATGTATAAATAAGAGACAAACTAGTCTAAAAACATCGGTCAATCTCATACAAACGTATTAAGGAAAGCCAGCATGATACTATTCGTCTGACAGCCATTTAAAAAATGATACATTATAATCAGACGTAGTGAACGATTCCAAGAAATCCGAAAATATTCACAAGATTCATAAACCATTTGCTTACATATTAAGAGTAGGTTGCCGATCGAAATATGACAGCTAAACCTTAGAGATAATTATTGCAATTAAACCACCAGGCTTAGGGAATACAACATATCTACCTGAGATACAAATCATATCCATTATTTTAAGAGTTTAGTCATTTTGAAAACATTAGAGTAGATAATTCTACCGACCAACTAGCAGTTGGCGACTAATTTGAACTTAGTAGAGATTTACCGTCTTGAAATCACTCTAGCTGTCGTGAAGGATTGTTAGTGGAATATCATGATAGCTTAGTTGATCTGTTCAATGAATCCTAAACTGAGAAATCTAATTTTAGACAGCTAACAGAATTTTAATCAAATAATTTACAGACAGCTTAATTAAAAAGAATCGATGAATATTTTTATGACAAGTGTTGTTGACTATCATCAGAAAGCCGAATAGTTTAATTTAAGTTAGTTTGTCAGTGAAATCAAATTTGATTGAATACATTAAGCTAACTGGTTGGACATTTAAAAGAAAGCTCTGGAAATGTAAATAGAAGGTATTTTTGACGGAACAAATTGACGGGTGATGGGTATAAAAACTGGTAGTTTTACAAACCTATTGACTGATTGATAATTTTGAGATTACTCATTTCCATATTTTACAGATATAAACACAGTTCAATGCATTGAAAATGGGACAGTTAGGTAAAACTACCAGACCTCAGCAGTGATAAGTCACAATTTAGAATATATTACTGAACTAACTAATCTATCTTCCAATTAAGCTATCACTTTCTGTTTAATTAATATGAATAATAAAAATTAGAAAAGAAACACCATTCATAAACTATAACATTTTAAGTAAAAACATAGTCAAACATATAAAAAAAAATTCTTACTTACCACAAGCGTATGGAGCAAACATACGAACAAGGAAGACACAAACTAAAGCAAATAATACAGCATAAATAATGTAGAATAAATAACCAACAAAATAAGCATCTGGATATTCACCAGTTGGATCTTTATTGATAAAAAGACGAGACCATGAATACCACTAAAATTGAAAGAAGTGAAAAGTGAAAAAAATTACTTTAACTCCCCCCAGTAGATAATAAAACTACACTCACAATTCAAAGCATTCAATATCAATTCAGCTGGATCTTTTACTAGATTGAATATATTATTAACAGATTCATTAGTTGTGGTGGTGTTTCGTTCTCTGAGCTGGTTGTTTTGGTTGTGGAGCTATCATTGTTCTTCAGAACAACATCATCAGCACAAACTTCAGATAGAAGTGAAGTCGATGGATTTAAATTCATGCTACACACATTATTTAATTAACACCTGGAATGTAAACGTTGACGACTTTATTACGCGAAACTTGAAATATTGCGAACCTTACACAGCACAAACTTCTATCTGAAGTTTCGCGTAATAAAGTCGTCAACGTTTACATTCCAGGTGTTAATTAAATAATGTGTGTAGCATGAATTTAAATCCATCGACTTCACTTCTATCTGAAGTTTGTGCTGATGATGTTGTTCTGAAGAACAATGATAGCTCCACAACCAAAACAACCAGCTCAGAGAACGAAACACCACTAAAATCATCCACCTGAGCAACAAGTTTTCTCCACCATCTCAAGATCCATTAGTCCAATATTATGCAAAATCACAGGTGTAAACAATAAAACTAAAATTCAATATTTCACTCAGCTAATCATAAAGACAAACAGACAGATACAACGTAGAACTTCGTACTTAGTACACCAGTTCAGATTGCCATACCACATTAGCACAGAGATGCAACTGTCAGTTCAAATTATGGTTCGAAGATATGATTCGAGAAGTATAATTCAATGAGATGACTTTAGAAAGAGAAGCATAGAGATTATGAGGAATCCAGAAGGTTAGAAGTTGAGAGAACAAAAAGAGTGGATGTAAACGATTTTGAGCCATGTCGTTCAAGCTGTCTGACCATCAGTGACTTACGTCTCGCGGACCCCAACCAGGTAGCCTAATCTACCAACATGACCCAGTCCATTTGTCAGTAATTTTATGGATTTCTGCCATGTTTTGGTTTGGCTACCTCTAGCTTTCTTCCAACCTGCTCCTACATCGTAAAACATAGATCGGCGAGGAAGTTGGTGGTTGCACATTGGTAACACACGTCCCAACCACCTCAACTGATGAAGTTTCAATACTTCATCTATCGATTTGCCATCCCTACCTAGTACTCGTTTCCTAACGACAGCATTGCTTACTCGATTGTCCCAGGATATACGAGCAAATGCTTCTAGCTAAATCATAAAAAGATATCATGATTCATTTATGAAGTGCAAGTTTATGTATTTGATATGTGATCCATTGATATTATCTGGATGACAGAAACATATGAAATTGGCAAAAAAAATGTAACGAAAACAATACTTGTAAATGGTATTATTCTATTGAAAAATTGAAAAAAAATATAGTTACCTGATCACACACATCATCCGCTTGACTTGATGACCAACAACATTGTTCACGATTAAACCAAAATGCATTTAGACAAACACCTTCTTTTAAATCAGACATCCAAGTACAACCAATATCAATGATACAAGCAATGAAACCTGTTAACAAACCAACACATAAAACACAAAACCATCCAGAAGCAGAATCCCAACAGGCTTTAATTGCACCACAGCATGTTTTCTAAATATTGTAAAATAAATATGAAAGTGCATATAGAGAAAATGTAGAATCAATTTTAATTAGTTAAACTGAATTTGTACTTTAACAAACTCAACTTTATAAAAGCAATAAAAATGAACAAAAAAAAATCATTATGAGAAATATTATTTGCAAGGGACCATTGAACGTACTTTGCAAGTAACAATCAATCATAATTTTAACAGTACTTGGAAAAAGCAAAACATTTTACAAATAACAATCAGGTACATTATCCAATAGATATAAGTTCATGAACACATCTGCAATACTCATAGAAAATGTCTATGTTATGAATGACTGGATTCTAAATTGGTCGTCATATAAGAGATGACCAGAAAATAATAAAACAGTGAGAGTGCTTCGGATAAGACATTTTGATAAGCCACTTAATAACATCACATTTATATTGAATAAAAATTTTGATTTGGTGATTACAAAACTTGATTGTCAACTAATCAACGATGGATTCTGACTTCACTCCACATAAATCATTTCAACAGCCGCTGATCTTCACTTTAAATGAATGATTCAGAACAGAGTACCGAGTGTACTGGATACAAAAAATATACCGATGAAATTACTCAGAAAGATAAATGGCGTGAGAAATTGACTTGAATTTACGTGAGATTATTACATTTAGGAGAAAATTATTAACAACGAAAGCCGGAAACGAGTCACGGTGAGACATATTTCAAAATTATATTAGAAATGATGTAGGTGACAGGATAGCTGACAACTAACTGATAACTTTAAGTATAGGGTACGATATGAAATGAATTAAATTTAAGAATATTCTGTATAACTTTTAATAACAGGGGATAACTGTAATGAACTAGACTTAATAAAATATAATGTCATAAGATGAACAATAGATGTTTTGAAGTTTCAAAAAAAATACTTTAAATTTAACACTCAAGGTTTTCTAGATACCTTAATATTCGAAAATTTCTAAAACTCTCTTAGTACAGGCGATTTTCAAGGCTTTTGTAATAACATACACTGCATAAGCAAGATGGTGACTAAGGGGATTTAAATAGGCAATTAACCATGACTGATTTATTCACTGATGTGATATAGATAATGATCTGGGATGAAATAAAATATTCTTTTTACAATCTTACATAATCCGAAATAATCATTAATCAGTTTAGTTTTGCACAACGTGAAATAATATGGAAAAAACGACAGATATAAATTTTATTTTATAGAGTCTGAGGCTATCTCCTCAGAGTATAAAACATGAATATACGGAGTTTTGAACCATGAGTTACATTTCATATCGCTAACATACAGAGCACATAAGATATAGAGTTTATGTAACCTCTTTAATGACGATCATTAAATTTCTGGAAGAATACCACTTAGATAAATCGGGAATCATCTAACATATCAAGGTAGACGCAAGTTATCAATCCATACTAAAAAAGACCAATCAACATGCTAAAAAGGTTAACCGAAGAAGAAACAAGAGGAAAACCAAGACAACGAAACCTATGTAGGCAATTAATCACCAAAAAGATCAGCCAGAAAAAAACCAACTGTACGCTTATGGATAATTACGAAGATCACTTTTTTATACGAAGCAAACGCTGAAATCATCCAGAATGGCAATGTAGTCTTCATAATTAAAGACCGTCTCCCAGAAATTGACAAAATCAAAACTATCCATTCGGGCTGCACAAATGCTTTTCTCCATTTTCGTACTAAAATACATTCCACACTAGTTAGATTAACACAATGAAAATATACAATGAAAATATAGAGAGTAAAGAAAGGTACAACAAAAAAAACTCAAAACCTACTCTGTTTAAATGCAGTTCCCGATGACGACATCGATCACGTGAAACATCTTTGACCCAATCGATAGTTTCGAAATCTTCATAATGTTCAACACTTGATACTGTTCCAGCAGAACGATTATGCTTTGAGTTAATATTTTGATATGATAAAAATTTGTTATTTCGACCTACATTATAAATAATAACAGTAGAAAACAATTAAATTAATTGTAACAAATTTATTTAATCAAGATTATTACAGGTAAACTAATCAATTCACAGATAAAAAACCCCGTAAATGTATTGAAATTTTCGATTAAACATACAGACTAATTGAGTTCATTAAATAGATAAACTGAAATGGTGAAACTACACTAATTCATGGGTATGGTGGACCAATCAGAACTAAGAATTCACATATCAAATATTAGCGCAAATTTTAATTGCCATTGCAAATAGTTTGTTGGCCCCAATCATGGTATTGATTAGAATTATTAACTTGGATTGATTGAAAAGTGATTTTTCTTAATGAAATGAAGTGTTAACATTAGGAGTTAGGATTAAGAGATCAGGATTAAGAACCTTAAGGGTAAGGTATTATGATTTCCTTTATACTGGTGTACTTAGCTCTAATAAGCTAATAATGCGTGTTAAAACTTCAGATTCTTTATAATTGTATTACTTCTTAGTACGATTAAACTTATTTTACAAAATCTGCACTCTGACTGGCTAATTTCTGAAGTTTCATACAATTTTAACCACTGAGGAATTTAACTAGAGTACGAACAACAAGCGTGGCAGAATAATATGAATTCACTATATTTCGTGTTTTTCCATCAGCTGCATATAACATTAGAACTAAAAATCAGTATGCATACTTTACATTATAATATCAGGAATTTTCTCATCGATAAGAATTAGTAAAACGGTCATAAATGAAAACGAATCAATTTCATGTTATCGTGATCACACTATCGAAGAGAAGTTCCATACTACGATGAAACCGTTATCCAGTGCTTTCAGGTTTTCGATAGTTTTCTTAGTAGGTCAGGGTCATGATTTCTATAAAATTTCAGCAGTCATAACAGTCATAAAAAGTCGAATTACTTTGGGAATCTTGTAACAAAAAGACTAAGTTGGTATAATCTATGTTTTAAATCAAACATATTACACCAAGACAAGTCTCCATGTTCGTTTTGAATCATATAAAGTCGATTACTAGAAGTTGCCTTATTACATCACGAAGACAACTTAATCGACATGATATCGGCAAAACTTTTTACACCAATTGAATCCTAACTGATAATTATAAATAACTGATTTTATTACTAATGCAACCAACAATCCAATCAACCCTGACAGATAAAAATTGAATGTTCGTCTGGAGCCATAAATGAGATTATTTTTACATAACAGAATGCAAATAATGATATAAGATACACGATGGATATTTATAAGCTCTTTGGAGATTAAATAGCAGAACTTTTAGGAATAGTGCTCATTTCGACGTTTCAGCGCTGTTAAATGGTGCTAACGTAATATGGGATGATAATTCGATCTAAGCAAGGAGTAAAAACTGTACGCTGTTGAGAAATCATCAATTAAAATGAAACCAAAAATCCAATGATTCCCGACTGTCTAGTTTGTATCTGCTAGTAGGGGAAAATTCATCTCTAAACTACACGAAATCACTCTGCAAAACCATTTAATCATGATGAAATATAGTTATTGATGTGCTTTACTTTTCTTTTAATTAGAGATTATATGGAATTACGAATACTAGATGGCACCAACTATATAAGAAAGAAATGCAAATAGCCGCCACCCTTGATTATGAATAAGAAACGTCAGTGACTAGAAATGACAATAAAAAATGTAATAGTTTTTCTCTCAAACACATAATTAAGTTCCTCATATTTTACTTTGTTTAAGCTCCTTTGTGTCTAGAAAAATTTTGGTCAAAATATTAGTGTCAGCTCTAGAATATTTCATGTAGTGTTAGGTAATATTCAATGGAATGGTGGCTCAACATTTAAGATTTTCTAACCTCCTGCTACTTAGTTACAGATTCGAACCTCGCCCTATTTCCTTTAATGAGAGTCCCGTGTAGTATCATTGGGCCTTCACACTTGCACTATGGCTTGAAATCAAGTACATAAATCTATAGCTGTTAAGTTAGTTTTACAAATGTAAACTTCATTTATACTGGATCAAAAGCAATTAAGAAATTGTTGGATTTTAACTTAATCGTAACCTTCAAAAGCAAAGCAAAGCAAAGCAAAAGTAAAATTAACCAAACAGAAATACAATTCCATTTTTAAAAAAAACAGTAATAGTAATGTAAACAATCATCATTAATATGACATTCATTACTTTTTGTTGCATTTGGAAATGGAGACTGAATTGACAATCCACGATTATCAGTAACATCAAAATTGACATTTGAATGTGTATGAAACATTTCATCATTTAATATATAATCTTTTTCATTGATTAATTTAGATTTGTTACCATGATAATCTTCAGTTAATGTTGATGTAGTAACATTATTATTATTATTGTTACTATTATCAGTAGTACTGTTAGTAATATGTTGTGAATGTTGTGATGAATTATTTAATGCTGTTGTAGGATCTGCAAATGGATTCAACATGTCTGATGATGAAAACATTGCTAGTGGATATAACGAATGTGTACTTTCTAAAATCAAAATGGAAAAACAAAACAAAGGCATGTGTGTATGTATGTAGGTACATCGTATAAAACGTCAATCAGTCACAATTGAAAATAGAGAATAATTTAATTTTGGTTATAGGAAAAGAATAAATCAAAAGGAATGAAAGTCAGCAGTTAACTATTGGTATTATTATTATTATTATTATTATTATTATTATTATTACTATACTAATAAAGCTATTAGGTAATAATTAACGATAAACTCAAACAATCGGTTTTTTGTTAATCAAACAATATTATTACGGTTTAACGCTTACAAATAGTCTAAACTAAATACAAGTATTACTGGACACTCAAAATAACATTATGAATACCATAAACTGTATTTTCTTGTTTAGTTAAAACAAAGAATGCATTAACTGATAGAGAAGGAAATGTATTCATTTTCACAAACATACATATATATAAAAAGGAGACAGAAAGTAAACATGACTAGGTGATTAAATCATACAACTAAGCAAAATATTCAATTATTCAAACTTCTTGATAAATAATAAAAGAATTATTATTACATTCTGAAGAAAAATGAATGATATAAAAAAAGCAATCAAGCTAAATATTGAACTGTTTTATCAAAACAACAGATTGTAAACATGGTACTGAAAAAAAAATCAATGATATCATCTTATTATTCATCCACTTGAAAATCCTCTTTCGCTATATTGGAATACTGAAGGTTATATTGCTGAACTAACTCGGATATGTGGTAGTAGTAGTAGTAGTTAGATGTTTAAGACAGATATCCATGTCTTAGACAAATTATATGTTTCAAAAATAGCAAAATGAAACTTGAAATATACTCGGTATGTAAAGATAAAATCACAAAAAATACAGGGAATATAACACTAATGACTTTGAACAAGTTTCCATTGAGTTATGCTTACAATGTAAAACAAATTGACAAAATCAATCGGTTGTATATCTCACTTCTAACGCTGGAATCAAATCTGTATTTCAGTGAAAACCATTCTCAAGCACGATTGACAAATATTGATCAATGTGACGAAGTAGCTATTCTTTAGTCAGTAATGTCAATTGTCTGCTTATTGATTTCGTTTCAGTATGACTAAGAAGACCGACAATAAGTAACAGACTATCCAGACAAAAGACAAATATATTGATGAAATTTATTCAATAGTGGCAACCTATTTGAATGTAATATACATATTTTATTTCAGTATGCATCACTAGAAATAAGACTTATTTTATCAAATACATAAAGAATTTGCATTCCAGGGTTGTGAAGATCGTTAAGTAACACATTTTGAAACCATGAATCGATATCAATGCTAAACCACCATTAGAAACCTGGGAGAACTGGACGGCCGTTTCGTCCTGGTATGGGACTCATCAGCAGTGCGCATCCACAATTCCTGCACCCCGCAGGATTCGAACCCAGGACCTTTGGTATTGTGCGCGAGCGCCTAACATCTGGACCACTAAGCCGGTTCGGGTGTAGACAGTAACTACCGAAGACTCTGTTTGAGGTTGCGCAACCCCGTGAATCGATCAAGTTAGACATTAACACGGTTAGATACCGGCTTAGTGGTCTGGAGGTTAGGCGTTCACGCACAATACCGAAGGTCCTGGGTTCGGATCCTGCGGGGTGCAGGAGTCGTGGATGCGCACTGCTGATGAGTCCCACACCAGGACAAAACGGCCGTTCAGTGCTTCCAGGTTTCGAATGGTGGTCTAACATTGATCAATTCATGGTTTCAAAATGTGTAACATAAAGAATTGTTAACAATACAGAAAAAGGAAAATTTAAGCGTACCAAGTGTAATAAAGGAACAAAAATTAGATTATTTCGATAAAAAATTGAAAAATAACTAAGAACAACAATTTATTCTCTACTCTTTACCAAGATGATGATGACGATGATGATTTGAAAATAAAATGAACTTTTTCTTATATCAGTTAACAAACTGGACATATATACATCTATGTATATTCATTTTGAAATTATAATCGATATATTAATGAATGTGATTTATTGAGAAGTTATGTTGAACATTTTAATTAAAATAAAATTCACGTAAAAGTTACTTAACATTCACCTTAAATTATTTTTTTCCAACTGAAAGCAATCGTCCTTAAGAAATACTAAATTGGAATTTATTAAATTTCAAATTTTTATGTTTATAAAGTTAATTTATTGTGCCAAATATTTTATATAAAAGTGTACTTGATCACTGATGTAATTCTAATTGTCAGAATAAGAAAACAAAATAATACAGTTTTGACTGACTGTTCCTTGAAATTTTTTCATGCAAACCAAGTGATTAATTAAAATCCGTTAGTTTTTGACAATAAATTGGTTAGTATTATCAACAATAAATCTAATTTTACGAGTTGTACTATGTGAATCATAGCAAGAAGTGTTGTGTTATCCTTCATGATTGTGAATGAAGTCAACTCTTTCATTCTTGCATAAACACAATAAGTGAGAATTCTATGCACAAAATAAGAAAGTCGTGCGAGGAAATATTTCTTCACGACAAGCACCCTACCATAACTCAACACTAATATGTAATTTCTACAAGTTGATCAAAATTGTATCATTGGAAGCTGAATCAATGATTCCAATGTGTATATTAAGCGTCCACTGAGAGATCTGAAAGTCCTAAGTTTGATCCCGGACGAGATTGCACCGTTAAAAACAAAATAGTTGTTTAATACTCAGTAGTTTTCAATGGTACTTCAACTAAGGCTAATCAGTGAATAACACAACCTACAAACTACCCAACATTTCCAAAAACATTCAGATAATTTAATAATAAATCGCTTGAAATAAGAAAAGGACAACAACAAATGAATAGAGTGAGATCAAGAAAAGTTAAAGCTAAAAAAAATTGTAATTTAATTCAAATTGTATATTAATCAAAAAACAGGAAAAATATGAAAATATTAATTTATCAAACAAAATAATGTAAGCCAAATAGCATGAAGGAAAATATCATAACATACACTGGTTATGCATGTTGAATACGATTTCACACAAATTAGAAATATGTAAAGATGACACACAAAGAATTAGCTTGTATAAACGAGTTTCCATAGCAGGTGTATATGACACTGTTTAAGTAGGCTGAGAAAATTAGACGAAACAAGAACAACAATATTTGCTGGGAAAACGATAAATTCTTCTTTTTATTTCGTTGTTTTGACTTCAATCAAATACGAGCTATTGATGTTTAGTTATTTTAAATTAACATCATAGTATGGGATTCGAAAAATTTGCCTTTTATCTAAACTTTAAATTATGTTTTTAAAAAATCTGAATAATTCAACTTATTAACAGTAGAAGTGTAACTTTGGGACAAGCCAATCACGGTTCAGAAAGTGTTTAAGGTTCAATTCTTTCTCTTTAGATCGTACATTTTAGTCAGTGTCTCAATTCTGAAACAAACCTTAACCGGGTAGTCCTACACCTTTTTGGACAGACTATTCGGATAAGACTTCCTGCATTGTTACAAAAACTTTATTTATCTATATGACTACAGAGTATTTTGTGCATTAAAACTGATATTAGTTCATGATGAAAATCCTAACTCGAATCAAGAATAATGTAGGAACTCAAAAAAAAATTTGCCTGAAGAATATAAAAATGGAAAGTTAATTGACTTGGTTGACATCTTAACAAAAAGTTGATTCAAGTTATCCGACCCCACCTACAACGTTGAGAACGATTTTGAACCATATCATCCAATCTATAAACATCAATGATGATAATTACTCAGACTCCAACCACGAAGTCTTCACCAACCCCCATGGTTCGGTTCAGTAGTCACTGTTTTCATAAACTGATGACACAGCTCGGTTTGGCTGTGCTTGCTTTTCTTACGACCTACACCTACACCAGTCATTATGTCACGTCGAGTTAGTCGGTGGATGGGTATATGTAACAATCAATCACCTTATCTAGTGAAGATTTAAAAGTTCATCAGTCTGCCTTGCTATCCTTACCTAATACACTACATCCAACCTCATGATTGTTAACTCGATAGTGTCAAAATATAAAAACTAGCCATTGTTTGAAATTCCCGGGATGAAATTATATCACTGTCTCATATTTTTTCGAAATAGTCTCACTAACTACTACATTTTTAATGCCTGTCTCTTTAGAAAGTCAAAAAAAATGGTCCACTATGAGCTATCGTTACCGTCTTTTCCATCGTTTTTGATTAAGCTGCCCACCATTTTGTCACTCTAAACTAAAAGTCTTTGCTTCTCATCAACAACTAATAAAATTGCAAACGGATTAAGTATTAATGAGTTACATTTTAGCAAATTCTACACAAAGCAAATTGACAGCTAAAACCTGGAAGCCTTCCAATGTTGTTCGGACTTCATCTGAACAATTACTAACCACTGATAAATTTATAAATAACTATTCAGTTTTATGAAAAAATTTAACGATGACTAATTTCAGTTATCAATCAAAATTTTACCTAAAGTAGCAACGAATTACATACATTTTTAGCACCAATAAATGGAACAAAAAACTCAATCATAAACAAATCCATTCCATTACGAGTCAGTGTTATATATTACAATTGGAAAATGAAGGTTATTTCAACACTACAATATGAAAGCGTAAAAAATGATAATGAACAGAAAAAATACCTTTCATATGACAAACTATGTTAGACAATAGCTAATAATCAAAGTTTTGTGCTTCATTATTTAAATCTCGCTAATTAGGATGTAAATGTAATTTGAAAGCCAGTTACAAAACATATCAGTAATGTAGAAAGTTTATAAAACATGAATTCAGACTGACAGTTTTTTTTTGGTTAAGATACATACAGAATTAACAAGATATAAGTGAAAGGTATAGATCGAGTTAGGACATAGCAACAAATGAGTATCTAGATGATACAGATGATACAGAGACATAAGAGAAATCGACTGCTTACCATGACGGTCATATTGAGGTTTATGAATTGTATGATGATGCATTGTCTATAGTAATAATTATATATATGTAACATAAAAATGGGAAAATGTAAAAATATTGTACAAGTATTGTAAAATATACCCTCTTGATTGATGTCAACAACAGAAACATACAAAAATATTAAATGATTGATGTAACTCAACTACCAAGCGCACGTTTGTATATATGGCTTTAAGGTATACAAATTATGTGCGAGAATTACTGATCCTGCCTATCTTCCTAAACCGAAGTATGTAGATTGAGAGTCGAACCAGTAACCTATAGATTAACAATTGGATGCCCTAACTATACGTAAACAATTGTCTCTGTTGTTCTGTTTTCTTTCTCAAACTTAACTAATGAAAGGAAGTTATATCGTCAAAATTAACAGATGAAAGGATTTTAGTAAAGTTGGAGATTGGTTAATAATGGAATCTAGAAGGTGAGTTACATTTGAGTTGAGAGACAAGTCAGTTGGATTTGCCCGTAAATATCAACAGTTGAGAGATGTACGTTCGCATAAATAAGATAGAAGGATTACGGTAAATGAACAAGATAAGATGTTATATCAGTCAGTCAGCTACAATGTAGAACTACGTAGGTACATACATCAGTTAATATGGTTCCATTAACAATGTCTAGTATAATTTTTGAAAGAATCTATGCATTCTAATCACATCAATAATTCAAAAAAAGGAATTAACTGAGCTTTTCAAAACATGAATTGTGAGCAGTGTAAGCTTATTTCAAAGTTCAATTTAATTCTGTCCAATTGACAAAGATGAGAAAACACAATACATTTGAACAACAATGTTTTACTTTTTCAAAGTAAAAAATGAACTCACCTGTTTTAAATGCTGAACTTCAAAATTGACCAAACAATGTTACACGTCACAGCAACATTAAACAGCACCTTTATCTATAAGAAAGTTTATTCAGAAAAAATAAAGAATCAATATAATGCAACTCAATGACAATAATACACGGGTTGATATAGGCTTTCAGGATCTTGCATGACAGCTCATAATACAAAACCAATGCACTGAATGAAAATGGGAAAAGATATTAGGAGGAAGAAAAAAGTATCATAGGCACAAAACAATTTTGTATTGTATCAGATAAGATCAACTGTAAGTACTATTGCTTATACCGTATAGCGAAGTAAGTGGCACCTAAATATGAATGACAAAAGGTATAAAAAAGCCTCAGTCGTTAAACAAGTCCAACCATAATCAGTAATATGATTAGTCAATAGTAAGATAGTGGGTTAGTGGTTACGGCGTTCGATTTTCAGTCAGTGGGTTGTAGATTCGAACCCCTCTCCACTTACTTCGGTTTTGGCAACCAGGGATTATCACTAGAATGCGACGCGAGAGACAACAAAATACATAAGGAAACTGAAGTATATAAGTGAGAAAGATAGAAGTCATTGATGCGAGTTGAAAATGCTTGAAAAAAACACAGTATACTTCACAAGGCTTAAAGACTAGTAGACAACTGATTTGATCTGCACAAAACTGACATTATTTCCCACCAACAAGTCACCAATTTCATTAAATAACTAAATCATCACCAAAAACGTTGAAAACACTAGAGCGACGAAAATTTCCTTTTCGAAGATATCACTTTCTGGAGTCGTACAATCGTATTTATGGGTAATCCTTTATGTATCATCAGTCTATAGTGATAATAAAAGTTTTCAGTCAGTCAGTCAGTTACAACGTAGAACTTCGTACATGAGTACATAAGTTCACGACGCCACACCTCATTAGAAGTAGAAGTATTAGCACTAATGGAGAAGATTATGGTTCGAAGATATGACTCAAGAAGTATAATTCAGTGAGATAGGTTTAGAAAGACAAAAGTAGAGGTGTTCAAGAATCCAGAAGATTAGGATTTGAGAGAACACAAAGAGTGGATGCACCTGCGCCATTGCAAACGATTTTGAGCCATGTCATTCAACCATCGGTTACTATCGTCTCGTTGACCCAAACCAGGTAGCCTACATCTACCAACATGACTCAATCCACTTGTCCGTAACTTCATGGATTTGTCTCTTAACAATGCGATGAAGTTGACAGATGATAAAACCTATTCACAGTCGATCATTTTTATTACCGATCTCAATAATTTTAAAGAAAATAAGCTGTAAGTTATCGACAAATAAAAAGAATAAATAACAATCAATCAATTAATATGAAATATCACATTCAACACATACATACATGCAACAATCAATCTCCATAGAAAGTGTAACAATAATTAAAAAGCAACAACAACAACAAATCAAAATTTAAAGCAGTAATCTCTATTTAATAAATTCTTTTCTTCTTCAATTAATGTACAACAATTGGCAGCATGTATTGTAAATTACAAATAGCAAAAGAAAAATTATTATTCACAGGGTAAAAAATATCATTTGATATATATATATATATATATATATATATATATATATATATATATATATAATTTATGATTAAGCCTACAATTTACAACTAACTGTATACATCGATTGACTTGCACTTATGCATGGAAGCAGCAATAAAGAATAAAAATGAACAAAGAAAAATTCAATTGTACAAATATGTCATTTTTTCGCTCGTCCAATGGATGTACTGTGATGATGCATACACACACACAGACACAGTGTTGCACACACACATATACATATATATCTATATCATAGTGCTATCATCAATGACGAATACTGGAAAATGAAATCAACATTAATGGTAAATATGAAAAAGAAAACTACAAAAAAGAAAATAACATTTTTTTGCCTTGAAAAAAAAAACAGAAGTAAAGGATAACTTAATTCATTTTAATAAATCATTCTACTGTAACGATATTGCAATGGCATCGGTTCAACCTATTATAATAAACGCAAAAAAAAAGAAAACAAAACAGAAGAGGCATTAAGAATTTTAAAAAAAGAAAAATCTATGTGAAACAAAAATGATGATGAAGAACAAAATTATGCTAAGTTTATAAGTGGTGTTTGTCACAGAATGAACTCAGTTGGAGTACTGTTGAAAATCAGAGAGTTCTGCATGGTCGTTTTGTCATACATAGGGGATAAGATTTCTTAGTAGTGAGCATACAAAACTCTACTTCTCCCTCTTTCTTTATAAACACACACACAAATCCAAGCCAGGAGAATCTATATCTCGGAACGTGTACACGATACCTTTAAACTACTGAGACGAAATGCAATTGAGATGTTGGAGAAAACTTGTAGCTAAGGTGGATGATTGTGATAGTGTTTCGTTCTCTGAGCTGAAGAACTCTTTGCTGAAGTAATTTTTCCTGTTTTATATCTCAATGGGTATAATCCCGTTTACTTAAATTTTAATAAACATTAACACTTACGTTATTCCAATAAACAACCCGAACAAATTTCAATACATGATCACGGCCAAGAAAAGTACCATCTTCATTGTTTTGTATAAAAATATCAATCTACATGTACATTTAATAAAGTAAGAAAAAGGCAAATTGTTAAACTAGCGGAATAAAAATGCTGATTCAATCACTAAATTTAAGTACACACTGAGAATGAGTGAGATCACATTACACTACATAGAATATTTCGGGTATGTTGCTTATTACACTATCCACTGACTGTACTCATTTTTTTTTAAAAAAAACAACAATAGCAATGTATAAGTGCAAATGCTTGGACATTTGAGATACTATAATTAATCTTCAGTAATAAATATCTATTACAGACTACAGAATGAAATGTCAATAAACAAACATATGACAAAAAGCGATGCAACCGAACCGAATTATGTGAAATCATGACAGTGTTTTTCAATCAGTTGAAGAGATAGTTATTATTTCATTGTAAAACTATTTAAGACTAATCGAGATTGCAATCATGTATAATATTTTTTTCTCAGATTTTATAAGTTATTCTTTCAAATATTATCTACTTATTATTGTTATCAATGTCCACAGATAGTCGGCCGATCTTTATTTTGTTGTTGTACAATTCCTAGATAATAGCTCACTTATATTATCTATAATTCATTAGGAATGTTTACAAAGACAAACCCCATCAAAGTGAAACAATTTTATTTGGTTATCATAATTTATTAAAATTCACTGTGTTAGTGGGACATGGATGGAATGAAAGCATGACTACGTTGCTACGCGCTGATTGGCTAATTTCCCATCCAATCAGCGCCTGATCGATTCTTGAAGAACAATGTGGAAAATTCTCGTATTGTTAGCTGCGTGTTGATTGGCTAAATCTAATCCAGTCGATCACGTGAATTTCTATCAAGAAGCTTCTCATTTGGCCGTCGCCTTCGCCATCACCTTTGGCTTTTTGTTTCCATTTAACCTTGCTATTCGGAATATAATCTTTTCCTGTTCAACCGTGTTTTTGATTCTTGGGAACTTGTCCAGTGTATTGTGGTCAGAGAATACTAAGCAATAGGATTTAGCTGGGAATTATCTAAGCAAGCGTTACAACACACTGATTTGTACATCAGTTTTGTTTATCGAGAAAAATTAGATGCGACGAAATGATGGACAATGGAACTCAAGTAGATGATTTAGGTGTTGTTGAATTCTAAGCTGAACAAAGAAACTATAGAACAGACCAGTTGGTTTTTTACAAATCCTATTTACTCTACTTGAATGAAGATGACGAAGAAAAATACACTGTGTAGAACAATATCAGGGTGAAAATTTGATGGTTTAATTTTTCAGTTTTTATTCTATTCACCATTATGGATATATCGAATACTATAACACATTTAAATACAGACTCTTTTAGAGATTAGTTGTTTTTAAGTAAACCACAACATAATTAGTTTATATCACAAGCCTAACAAAACAGTCATAAAATATACAGAGTAAAAAAATTGTCCTAGTATAATTCTCGAAGTTCACAATGGTTAAAAATAACAGTTCAAACAAATTTTTGGTTTTATTAGTTTTTTAGATGATATAGGTATTTAAGAAAGAAAACATTATTTCGAAATGCGTTCGTATCAAGTAAAATCGAGATTGATTGGCCCGAACAGTTGCTCCTTTAGGTACTACCATGCCAGATAGGTTGGTTGGAGAACAGTGTCGTACTGTTGACTTTACAGGAATGTGTGAAGTTGTTCCCCTCAGAGAAATACTGTATGCAGCGATGCAGCTTCATAACGTAAGGAGGATTAGGAAATTTGACCCTGTAATACCATACTTCACCTTACCTCCCATAGATTTCCACCGACGGTGATAAGGCCTTAAAAACAAAACGTTAACGAATCTAAGACTGCTCATGCAAAGACCATGTAAGCGGCCAAAAGCAATTACCTTTTAGGGCAATGTAATCACATAACCAGGAAGTCAAGGCCAACCATAGCCTAGTTTTCTTTTCACGAACTTCAAGAAATATATAGATTTGTCATTTATTTATATTATGTATATCAAAATACAAAGAAACATGGGAAAAAACTAAGTTTGACCATTCAAAGAATATATCTGTGGTAGAATATTCAGCGACTAAAGGAATGAAACTTTTAATAAAAGGAAAAACCGGTTAACCTACTTCATGAAATTTAGATATATCATGAAGAACTTGTTGTGCAACATATTTTCTTAAATGTGTCACTGTGGCCCTCGATGAAAGTCGTAAATATTTTTCTGTTAATGGTTCCAAATTATCAGATCCTGGCTCAAGTTGTATATTGACCTGTTCATCTGTACGATGATAATCCGGATCAAAATTTGAAGTTAATCCGTCAGAATCAGATGGAGCTGTGTTTGTGGTGCTATTTTTTTTGTTACCCAACACATGATTTTCTTTGCCTAAATCTGTTGTGTTTTCATCAAAAAAAAATCACAAACAAATTTAGCAACATCATATATCGTTAGTAGACAAGCATCAAAGTAAATACAAAAAGTTTACTGATTCAAAGAGACCTAACAAGTAATGATCGCAGTAAGACCATTAAGAAATTTGATATGATTGATAGAATTCTCAAAAATATCGGCAAGATTCACACAGTTTTCATTCGTAATTACCAGGCTGTAAACGTTCAAAACACTTTGTTACTGTGTAATGCTAATGATGTTATGTTCGCCTACTTCCTTGAAAAGCTGTGTTTAAACTTGAATTGTTAAGTAACGACTCCAAATCAACAAGGGTCTAACTTAGGTGTAAAAGTACAGAAAGTTTGTAAGCCATCCCTTATACGAACTATTCAGTTTTTTATTCAAATAACAAAGAAATTAATGAATTGTTGAGATATTATAAGTGAAGATTGATGCCTGAATTAGAAACACTAAGAAGATTTCAGTCGAAACCAGTGATCGAAATGTATTTGAACGAAATTAGGACAGCTGTCAGTGCATGAGAATACTTAAACAAAACTGATATCTCAATGCAGCGTTCGGTTTTTATGATTACATCCACCGGTTTGACGCATCCTCCCCCCCCCCCAAAGGAAAGAAGTCAAGTATATCTTTACACTTCTGTCATCCCATATATGGATCTAATAATCCAGAAAATCTGATACAGTATCCTCATTAGATAATAAATTTGCAATAACGAAAGATAGGAAAAATTAAATCGAAACAACTTGCTACCACTGGGCAAATAAATCAATGAGTTAGAATATAATAAAGCAATTTCCTGCAATTAAAATAAGCATACTTTCGTCCATAATTTTATACTACAACAAATCCCGATATTAACTATAACGAGATACGGAATTTTCCAATAATAGATAACAAAACAGTTATACGCCTAAATTGATGGTACGAGTGACTTGAATGACAACGATTGATACCTATGCTTAAGTTAAATGACTATTATAGTGAATTCATAGCTCAGGTGGATGATTGTGATGGAGTTTCGTTCTCTGAGCTAGATGTCTTAGTTGTGGAGCTTTCAATGTTCTTTTGAACAACATCATCAGAACAAACTTCATACTTCTATCTGAAAGCTTCACAACCAAAACATCCAGCTCTGAGAACACAACTCCATCACAATTGTAGTGAAATTGACAAATGAATACAAACTTTTTAGCTCAAAGTGAAAAACATAATGTACTAAGAAATATGTCTGTTATATTCGATCCTAATGGTTAACTAAAGACAATATGAACCTAAAGCAGTTATATGTTAGTGTAAATTAACTGTGACCCTATCCAGTGATCAAGACTCCAACTGGCGCTTAACAATCATGATATGCTTCAACTATTTAGAAAAATATACTAGCAATAATTACGGCTGCTAACTACAAACACTTGTCTGTCATGTTATATCCAATATATTATAAAAATACTTCTTTTAATCTTACGTTAAAGTAGTTGGTTAAGCTAGTCTGTTACATAGACTTATACAAGCTTAAAACTATTGAGTCTCGCGATTCTAATGTGATATGGATCGTACTTAAGGCAGCAAAATTAGAAATAGCGATTATAGTAAGATGAGAAATTAACTTTTTATATGTAAGAGATCTAATTCATGCTATTAAGTATTCTGGCAGTGCAGCAGAGATTATATATTCCATTATTATTATTTTCCACAGACTCATATTCCCACTATAAAACACTGTTCCTTAAAATATGCGACCAATTGAATCCTTCTTAATTGCGTTGCCAGTCATAAAGTCGGAAAGATAGATGAAAAATACACGTGAATAAAGTTATATGAACATCCACTTGGAACCGATGAAATCCGCATCAATACAACTAACGATTTTGACATAACAATACATTTAGCAAAACTCCATTACATAATTAGGGTAGTGGTAAGGGTTACCATAGGTTGAATAATAAATTATCAGCTAATATTTTCCCTTTGTTCACTATAATAAGTCAGTAGCGATGACTTAATGAATAAATCATAACACATTTAATTTATTCATAAATTATTGAACTAACGTGTTACCTTCTGAGGGAGGTGGAGTTTTTCCAAGTGATCTATAGAAGACCTCACGACGTCGTCTCTCTTCTATACAAAGTTTTTTATCAAATGAAGACAAATAACACACTTACTTTGTCTTAAATCTGGAACAATTTTATACACGATATCTTGAAGAGTACGATCAAAACTGTATTCAGATAGAAAAAGGAAAAAATATTTAAAACAAAACTATCATATGAAACAAACCTCATATAATTTAATGGATGACTTTGGTGAATAAGAATTCCGCAAACAGGACATTCACGTTTTTCTTCTGAATACTTTACTATACAAGATTTACAAACTAAACAAAGTAAAACATATATTATAAGACAAGAAATATTCTATTTACATGGATGGAGACATTCAGTTATTGAAACAGCATCAATTAAATAACCTTTACATAATTTACATGTGATAAATTCATTTAGATCGGATAACTGAATAGCAGGTAGTTCATCCATGTACTCATACATGCACGTACAGTATGTAGTAAACAATGATAAGGCATCAGCTAGCTCATCTCGGCTTAGACACTGAAAAATAATCACAAAGAAAATAAATGAATATTAAAATTAATACACAAAAACACAATGGATTGAGAATAGAATAAATAGTTAGATAAAATTAGTCATTAGTCACTAAATACAAAAAAAAGCACTTTGACATAAATTTTATTCAGAATTACCAGTCAAATAAAAGAAAGTAAATTTGATCGTGTTAAATTGACAAAATTATAATTAAAAACTGAATGTTTACAATCACCGTACTAAATATAGAACACTAGCCAGTAAAAGGTTTTAGGAATAGGTGAGATTTGGTGGCCATATTCATGCTTAGTTCACAAAACCATGGACACAATTACTTAATATGACTTAAGAATGTACAGTTCTATAATTTATTACTGTCAGTCGATCAATTGTAAGAAATATAGGATTTTGCATGTCATATCTCAGCTTACACCAGATTTCCATCTCCAATGGAAATGCTTCTTGAAACACGGAGCTAATACATCAAAAACTCATAGAGAGAACGTATTTGGCCAGCCTCAAGAAGTTTTTCCTTGAGTTCTGCCGTCACACTATCAGGTTGCTACGAGTACTACAAGTCTAATCTCGTTTTCATGTCTCTCAGGAAAAAATATCCTTTCAAAATGCAGGCAACCGGGAAGAGATAGTCACCTTTATACCTCTGACAGAACTAGAGAACCTCTTGTCCACATCCCTTCTTATCTACTACCAACCCTTTTCATCAGACTTTATCCCCAAGCACCTCCACTAACAACTATTCGAGTTCATGAGACACTAGTTTTGTTATCCTGAAACTTATTACAGAAACTGGTATTAGATAACGGACATAACTGAGACTCTCATTAAAAAAGACGAAACCACTACTTACTATTAATCCAAGAGATTGAATCGACAGGCAGAAAACATTAAGGAACAGCTCAACCGGCCTTCAGTTTCCCCTTATCTCCAAATAATCTGAATGTCAAATAAATGTAAATCTTGAGGCGCCACAAATCACCAATCTAAATGGCTTATCTCTAACCCCTTTTTAATGGTGTTGGAGACCTTCGGACTGAGATTGACTGAGTTTTTTACAATTGTTTGGCAACTGGTGTTCCAAAATCCTGGAATGTGTCGATAGTTGTCCGTATCTTTTAAAAATGTTCACATCATCTATGTAGTAACTTTCGAGGGATAAGTCTACTTCTAACTGCATTCAAATTATTGGCTGAGAAAAATTGACTCACGAGGAAGAAGGCTGGTTTTCGTTCTCGTTGAGGATTTATTGATTATATCTTCGAACTGTTGGAAATGTTAGAACACTGCCACACTTAAAGCAGGCCAACAATCGTTATTTCGAGACATCAGAGCCGCCTTCGATTAGCCGAATAAGACTATTCTCTGGGTTGTCTATTGAAGAAGAGTGATTCTGTGAAGTGTATTAACATCCCGAAGGCCCCATACATAAACACCTTAAGTAGACAGAAGGCACACGGACAACCCTCTCCATTGTTTCATTCAAGCATTGTGATTAAACTGGGAATTTTAGAATCTCTCTCTTTAACAAAACTGACAGAAAGCTAAACCCAACTGTAGCTGCTACCTTGACGTGGTGGTCGAGCTTGCCTATCACAATGACCCAAACGAAGTGTATTGGCTGGAACATATGTTCCTGTAGGTTCTGCTATGCCAAGCAGGTCGACTGGGGAACGATGAGACAAAACAGCTACTCAAGACCTGAGGGCGAAGTCGTACTGATGACTGTAGAGAGGTATGACAGCAGTAAGGTGTTTCCCTCGGACAACCAGTATCTTCAAGTTCCTCAGCAGACACCCTTCCACGGTGTGGGCAGCCGGGAAGTGACAACCGCCCTCATACCCGTAACAGCACGCGAGATCAAATCGGGCAAATTTAAATCCTTCCTACACCCCCTAACATCCCCTTATCTTCACAACTAGCTCTTCTCACATCCCTTTATCACCCTGGACCTCTGCTGCAAACAATTCGAGTTCCCGAAACGTTATTCATGGTCTCCTGAAACCCCGTTCAAAACTACATGTTGGAGCATTTAATGTACGGACATTGTGTCAACTAGAGCAACAGGCTTCATTAGCTAGGACTTTAGAACCCCATACCATTGATATGTGTTGCGTCTCGGAAACGTACATGCAGGATCCGATTAAAGTCATTAATTTGATTTCACCTTGTCGAGATAGAGAATCAACTCGGTTTACGCTTCATGTATCTGGAAGCCCTGACGCTGCTTTCGATGGCCCGCTGGTGTAGGTATAGTATCACGTTCTAGGGTAGAGCTAGCTCTCCTAAACTGGATCCCGATAGACAGTCGCTTACGCGCTGTCCGACTAAACGGGACGGTACTGACTCGGAAGGATAGAGACACTCGCCGTTGCCTCCTCTTCGTATCTGCCTACGCTCCCACTGACTGCAGTTCAGACGAGATAAAAGATGAGTTTTACAGAAACCCTTCTAACCTTCTTCACAATGTAAAGCGCTCTGAAACAGTAATAACGGTTGACGACTTTATTGCTCAAATAGGTAGACTCAGTGAAACGGAAAGACACCTGGGTGGATCTTATGGTGTCGTAGCTCAAGGATCAGATAATGATCGTCTGTTTTAGCCATGCTCAGAAAATCGCCTATCTCTAGCAAACACTAACTTAAAACATAAGGAAAAACATCTGTTGACCTGGCGACCACATTGTTATCAGCCATTGGTAGAGAGGCTCCATTGGGGACAGTCACTCATTATGGAGCACTTGTTAAGATTCAGATAATGCTATAGGGAGTTTGCGTCCTACTTGACGTAAGAAAGACAGCGAGGAAACATTTTAGGGTTCTACTTAATGATAATAAAGAATATATTTCAGGAACAACTAAAAAACAGTTGGGCAGCGACGTAAGTGTTGCCCACCGTGATTTAGCTTCGAATGAAATCCAAAAAAGCTATGGAAACAGCAGTGATATCTGCCAGTAAGGTAAACCATAAAATTAGGGAGAAACGTGGATTTCAGTAGCATCTACCGAACTGGAGGCTCGGAAACTCGTCCCGTTTGATTACGAGTACGATGTAAGCTACCTGGTTGGAGTCCGCGAGACGAAAGTCACCAATGGTTAGAGACCTTAAAGGCATGGCTCAAAATCGTGTGCAATGACGCAGGTGCATCCACTCTTTGTGTTCTCTCAAATTCTAACCTTCTGAACTCCTCATCATCTCACTCTTTCTCTTTCTGAAGTTATCTCACTGAATTATACTTCGAACCCTAGTCTCCTCCATTACTGCTAATACTTCTACTATCTCTACCAATATCGGATTTGAACTGACATTTGCGTCTCTGTGCTAATGTGGTACGGCAACCTGAACGGATGTACGTACGTACGAAGTTCTACGTTGTGACTGACTGACTGACCGACGATGAGGAGCGAAGTCAGCTTAGGTGCTGGCTGATAAAAAGCCTACGTAATGATCGTGAACAGAGGTGGGTTAGAAAGCGAAAGAGATAGAAAAGGAAGTGGCGATAGGCAACAGTAGAAAACTGTTCAGACTTATCAAAGAAACCGGTATTAATGATCCGACTGTAAGTGAAACTGTCTCGGGAAAGGACGGGATTATCCATCATTCTGAATCAGATGGCTAGAGAACTTTAGGAATCAGTTCAACTGGCTTTCAGCCACACTTCAGTTGCTCACGATCTCCAGTCATCCTGAATGGCAAATCGATGTAAGTCCGCCGACTCTTTATGAAGTTGAGAAACCTATAAGAAATCTGAAGCAAAGGAGAGCAGCGGGTCCTGATTGCTCAACCTCTAAGATGGGGATTCCGTTGCAGCAGTCAGATTGACTAAGATCTTAGGAAGAATCTGGGAACTGGGATAAATCCTATCTGACTGGTATCAGTCCCTGATTGTACATCAGTTCAGGTTGCATACCACATCAGCACAGAGACGCACTTCGATTTCTATAGTAGCAGAGGTAGTAGAAGTATTAGCGGTAATCAAAAAGATTAGGGTTCGAAGAAATTATTCAAGAAGTGTAACTCAATAAAACAAATTTAAAAAGAGAAAGATAAAGGTGATGAGGAATTCAGATTATAATTTGTTAGAATGCAACCAATGGATGCAGCTGCATCATCAAAACGATTTAGAGCCATGTAATTCAAGGTCTCTAACCATCGGTTACTATCGTCTCGCGGAACCCAATTTGATAGTATACACTCACCAACATGGTTCAATCCGCTTGTCAGTGACTTCACGGATTTCTCCCATGTTTTGGTTTGACCGACCCTAGCTTTCTTCCAGCCTGCCCCTACACCATAAAACAAAGCTCGTCGAGGCAGTCGGTGGTTAGGCATTCGTAACACATGTCCCAACCACCTCAACTGATGAAGTTTCAATACTCCATCTATTGATCTACCATTCTTACCTAGTACTCGTTTCCAAACAACAGCACTGCTTACCCGGCTGCCCCAGGATATACGAGTAATGCTTCGGAGACATCTATGATCGAAAACCAGTAACCTACGAATATCTTCTACTCATACTGGCCATGTTTCACAGCCATAGAGCGGAACGAAGCGAACTGCTGCACAGTACACTCGTCCTTTGTCTAGCACACGGATATCTCGCCTACACCATGAGTGATGCGAATTGACAATAGAGTATTCTGTATCCACGCTAAGATTCCCTAAGAGACCATGCCATTAGAACTGATGAGACTCCCCAGATAAGTGAAGCGATCAACACGCTCAACTTCACTCCCTATCACTAGTTCAGGTGCCGATACAAGCCAATCCCGAAGCAGCATTTTGCATTTCGAGGGGGAAAACCGCATCCCGAACATCCTTGCATTGTTGCTTAGGGTGGTCAGAAGACTGCATCTTGTCAGCGTCTTCACCAAGTAGGACTATGTCATCGGCATATTCCAAGTCAATAAGCGAGACTCCTGGTAAA